ATCCGAGGGATGTTTGACCGGCCAGTGTAAAAAGTTTCAGTGCTGTCATCCACATAGCAACGGATGCTGTTATTGCGGACAGTGTAGGCGACAAAGCAGATCTTTGTTGGAAGTCAGCATTTATGGTTACAGTGTTAGAATAGATTTATTTATTTTCAAAGACATAAAAATTGACGGATTAATTGGCGATCCAAAACAGAAAAATTATAAGCCCGGACTACAAATGAAACCCCGCCCGAACGCTCCCCGGACGCCCCGTAAACTAGGACAAATCCGGGGAAACCCGGACGGATGGCAGCCCTAAAGACAAAGGACTTCTCTAATGGGAAGCCCGCGGACACTAGTAGAAGCCTGCAGCAACATCCGGGGACTGCTGAGCTTTCTGGAGGAGCTGGGATGGCAAGACTGATGCCAATCCCCACGCAAAATAGGCACTGGGTGTCGAGTTGCGGAAACAGCCCGCCGTACTACTAAGACCAAGACTAGCAGGCAAATTGAAGAGTCCATTGTGGAGACATTGGGTACCATCTCATGTCTCCACATATATTAAATTTTGAAAATAGGTTAAATAGAATTGTACTAACATAGGTTCTAAGTTTTAATATTACTAACTATCTGTGGACCACATGGTCTGAAATATTATTATTTCAATACCGGTAGTTTGTTTTTCAATTAAAGTTATAAAGAGTCTTGGTACAATTTTAACTTAGAAGGGAATTCACGTGTCCCCGAAAATGCTGAAAAGAGAAAAAATAAAACTATAATTGCTATTTCTTCTTTCAAATGTTAAATACTTGTAAAGGTATTCATTTGACATTGTGGGTTACCTACAATGCGAAGAGATGACGCTGCCTTGCAGTTAGAGGAAATTTGACCAACGATCAGGGCTGCGGTAGCATTATGCTAAGTGAATTCGCCCAGATAGCAAAGGGTGCGGGTTCCAGTCCCATCTGCTGCCTGTTGTGGATTTTTTTTATAGTAAAATTTTCACTAGATTTACATACAGATTTTTTTTTTTTACCTCTTCAACGTGACTCAGAGATGACCTGCTCTCCCAATCTTCCCATGTCTCCCTTTCACCTGAACCAACAAATATATCAATTGAAATATGTATGTATCTTGTATTAACAAAAGAAATAAATGTTTTAAAGGAGAAATTAACTCATAAAATTTGCTCGTTAAGTTTTTAGGAATAAGCTGCTGAATTACAGATTTTGATAAGGTATGCAAATAGATATGGACCTATAAAATATTTCGGTTACATTGGAATCACAATTTATGAATATAATTTGAAAACGGTGTCGATTCTGACGTGATTCTCTAAACTTAAAACTAAATTTAACATCAATCTCTCCTTTTCATTCCGTATATAGAATAACAAGGATACTCTATTGTCAAATTTAAGTTTAGGTTAAGAGAAATGTGTCAGAATTGACACCATTATCTTTTGTTACATGCATGTCAAAGTAAATTATAAATTAATTAATAATTTGATAAGCCTTAAAGTTGTTATATAGTTAAATATTATATATTAGTCAAAATATAAATGGAAAAATAAGCAATATGTCCAAAATAGCAATGTTTCTTAACTGGATAGCCAATTTTAATATGTCTAACTTAAAGAAAATATAACTAGAAAAAATTCCACGCAGACCAGGCAGCCCTTTCTTTATGGCTTGAATTTTTTCTAGTTATATTTTCTTTAGATTTAAACATCAAGCAGTTACATGCTTTAAAATAATAAAAATTATAACTATGTCTAACTTATTTAATAAAGAACTGCTTTTAAAAAAGATGCACTGACTTATTTATTTATTGATGTTTTGCGTCCTTTCCAGGATGATACTTCAGATGATGCAGCTTAAGAAGCATGCGAAAAGTCAATAAATAAATAAATCGATGCATCTATAGCATTGAAACTTATCTTTTAATGAACCTGATAGTATTTTGGATACAGTAGTATCTATATTTATAAAACTCAAAGGTGACTGACTGACATAGTGATCTATCAACGCACAGCCCAAACCACTGAATGGATCGGACTGAAATTCGGCAAGCAGGTAGATGTTATGACGTAGGCATCGGTTATGAAAGGATTTTGATCAATTCTACCCCGAAGCGAAGCGAGGGCGGGCCACTAGTCTAAAATAAGAAACGAACTTACAGTAACTAGCTTCGCTGTCGGCCTCTAGGCTTCTTCTGTGCATTTTGAACATCTTTTTACATTCTGAAAGAAAATTGTAAATGTATGTTAACAAACCCTTGGAGAGATTGGCATAGCATCAAAGTTGTAGTACCATGACAATTCATTATCATCATCATCGTCATCAGCCTATTAATGTCCCCCACTGCTGGGGCACAGGCCTTCCCTATGGATGGAATAGGGAGATCGAGCTATGACCCACCACGTGGGCCCAATGCGGATTGGCGGGTGCTAACGACTGCAGATGCAGCCGGGACCAAAGGCTTAACATGCCTTCCGGAGCACGGAGGAGCTGGAGATAGTAAATTTTTGGTCACCCATCCAATGACTGACCACTGTGAAAGTTGCTTAACTTCAACGATTGCAGCCGAAAGCGCTAACCACCTGCGCCATAGAGCTCGTCAATGACATTAAAATTATTACCATGACAATTATAGTTACTGAATACAATTAGACCTGTACTAATTGATAACTAACAACTTTGAGACTGCAATCTTGAGATACTGTTTTCAAACAATCAGCATCTCAAGCACAACTGCTCTCAAAGTTGAGATCAATCTATTAATACCTAAGAGAAGTTGCTAATTATGAAATAATAATTGAATACTTACATGAGTATGAAAAATATACAGAGTAAGTTTAAGATGATAATATAAGATGGAATAAATTTAAAACTCATTTTAAAATAATAACCATATTATAGGTACCTGAACTTTTGAAGAAATAAATTGCCTTCTTTTATCACTTTAAAAACCGTTATACTGATTTTTTCTCAATAGTATTATATCAGATAATTTACATTGAACATTAAAACACCTAATGTTCAATTGTTAACTGAAAATAATCGCATTTAAAACACAAACTTCGATACTAAACACACCCACTTAACTTTACACCAATGTCTGAGTCTGCATAGAATATGAACACGACGTTTGCGTATATTTAGTAACTTGCACACAAAGAGCACCTCTTCAAGCAGTTTTCAATGCTAGTTTGTGTTATTTTATTCACATTTTACAAGAAATAACTAAAGTTCAATAAACTCACTGTTTACAACTTTATGTCAAATCGATTACTGTTTTTTTTATTATCCCTATAGTGAGGGTAAAGGTATATAAATACGAACAGCCAAATCTTAAGTTTATTTTGTTTTTATGTTATTCATAGTGATAGAAGTACCTGCTGCTCTTGGATTTTCTTATTTCATATTAAGAATGCGGACACCGTAAGCCTTTGGTTAAGAATTTTTATCAGTGACTGAAATGAATGAAACCAATAAAACTGGACTACGCACCCAATAAAAAATAGTATAGCATTGCTTTCAAGTTGCAATTTCCAAATTAATAGAGTTAGAGTTATTCAACTTCCTTTGAGACAAAAGGTAAAACAAATAAACCAATGTTTCTAAAACTTTTTTATCGAGATTATTAATGGCCGGGTGTAACCAGACTGATTATAAAATTTCACATTTTAACGTAAATTATTTGCTTTATCTTATTTTTTTTTATTTATTTATTAGCTCACAAAACAAGTTACAATTATAAAAAAAAAACAAAGCAATTACAATAATAGAAAACCAAACTGTAACTCTAAATATGTGGGCATAACATGATTAAATTTTATGGGCTGAAGTTTACACTAAAGAATCTTTTAAGTTTATCTTATCAATCTTTTCAATTCAATTATAATGCGTTCAAAGTTTGGGACAGTTTTATAGATCTATTTATTCACTTTCTTGAAATTGTGATTTAATATGCATATAAAATTTAACCTATTAAAAACCTTTTATGGTTTGTTTAACTTTTGTCTTAGAGGAATTTAAAGGTTATCATTTCATTGATCTTCATAAGTTTCTATTGTAGATAGTAAATAGTTATAGTAAAATATGTGATAAAGGTAAAATATAATAGGCTAGTTGACCCTTTTTGGAAAAAGGTTTTAAATGGTTAATAAATGTTCTATTAGACCGAAAAAAAATATATTGTATTTTTTTGAGACCTAGAAAGTTACAAATCTTTAATTTTAAAATAGACTTTTCATGGACATACAAAAACGCTGTCGGCCATTTTAGTCTATAGATTATCTATGCTATGACGTTGACGGTAGTAAATAAAAACTCGTAAGCACCACGGCCGTGGTAAGCACGTAGAAAATAACCTATCTGAGTTTATAATAATAAAATAAACATGATTTCTAATAGATACCACGAAAAATATAGTAATTATCATTATTGTATTGTACGAGAATGTAAGAACCTTGAAGACTCCAGGAAAGATGTGGATTAAAGTGCCGAAAAAAATTAACCTACGTAATACCTGGTTAGAACTTGCTAAAAGTGATCCTGCAACTTTATCGACTCATAGTAAAATTTATTTTTGTGAAGATCACTTTGATGTAAGTACTCATTGAATAATATTTTAAGTCTCTTCATTTATTATCAGTTTTAATAATACAAGTTTTAAAGTTATGTATGAATGACATTTAGTTGTTTACTAAAAGAGACGTCACAATCATGGCGGATGTGGCGAACAGCGTTTTTAGTGTTTAAAATATATAGACTAAAAATATTTTTTTTAAACTTAAATTTCTGCGGCAATCTTCTGCTTTTATGAAGTGAAATCGATATATTTAGGTTCCTTAGACCAAATACTTTAAGAAATAAACATTTATTTAATACAATTCGACATGAGTCAACTAGCCTATTAAAAAAAACAAAATACTCCAAAAAACAACAATATAATCCATAGTCAATTACAATTTTTCACATTTTAAATGCATACAATACATTTAACAATCATCATTCTTTCTTCTTTTTACTCGGCGACTCGTCGTCTCTCTCCCTCCCACTGCTCCGTCTCTTTCTGTCCTGCTTCTCTTCATCTTTCCCGCCACTTTTGCTGTCACTGTCACTCTTCTCCTCCTTAGTCTCTGGCACGTATTTCTTCACGCGCGCGGGCTCCGGTGAATACGCCCACAACATCATTTCTACGTGTTCTTTTGTTGGCTGTTCTTTTTCGTCGAATAGTTTTACGTCTGCGTGCTGTAATCAAATTAAATAATTACTTATGGTAGAGACAAGCTATTGAATTCCACCAGAGATAAGTTTTAAGGGTGTTATTAACATTTATTTCTGTTTAAATGAACGCAAAGCTACTGAGATTCTAAGTAATATCTAAACACAACCCTTTAAGGATCTATTACTTGCTATTTTGATTACTATGTTATAAAGCAGAATAGGGTATTTGACAAGTTTGAGAAAACGATCTCACGTTATTGCCTAATGTTTATGGAGTCCGTAAAAAGTGGATATTCATCATTCTGTTGTGTATTTCAGTAAAAATAACCTAATCAAAAACTCCATTTTCAAGTTGCCGCGATAACGTTTCTCTGGACAATATGGCGTCTTACTAGTCTGTGACCAGTGGCGGCACTAGACCACATGTGGACGTCGGCGACATCAAGTTGGCGAGGCCTATTTTACTTCGCAGTAATAAACCGTTAAATTAAGTGAGCCAAATTATAAAATAACGTATGAGTAAACGAGTTTTATTGTTGATTCATAGTGTTGCCAGACAGACGATTCTGAATACCCGTAAAGTACTTCTCGCTTCCATCACGCACGTGTTCGAAATTAATTGTTCGGGGTCGGCTACCTAAGCCAGGCCCGGAGAAACGAAAATAAATAGGTAACTTGTAAAATTTTTTTGCGAGGCCCCCTCAGGCGCGAGACGCGCCGACGCCCAGCGCCGCCACTGTCTGTGACGTCACACAACTGTTACTAAAACGTCAAACGATAGTATGTAATGTCACTTTAACCGGAAGTTTACTTGCGTGTAACGTCATTTTAGGCTCCGCCAATCCCAAGCGTATTGGGTCACGTGACAATAGTTAAGAAAACGATTATCTTTTTCGTGGGTTTTTAGTAAATTTATGATTATTTTTTTTGAAAAAGTAAGTAGTAAAAACCCCTGCCAATATTCATTCTAAACACAGATGCTAACAATTGGCACATTATTTTTAATAGTGTCAAATACCCCATTATGGAAAATTCAGAACAGATTGATATAATAAATAAATAATAATAATTTAATGAGTATTTTTTTATTGGCTTGAACAATAGTGTGATCTTAAACTAATAACCAGCATCTCCTTTTAAGCTTAAATAGCCTGTGTCAGGAGATACAACTCTTCCTCAAAATAGATAAGTATAACAATCCAATAATATCCAAACAAACCATGACCAAGATCTAATTAGTTTAGACGTTTGGTGTTTATGCCTACGCAATTGTAAATGTGTGTGTGTGTGTGTCTGTGTATGTGTGTGTGTGTATGTGTATGTGGGTGTGTATATGTGTGTGTATGTGTGCGTGTTGGTGTAGAGTGTGTGCGTGTATGTGTCTTAGGCCTGTATTATAGAAAGATTCTCAGTGATTGATCTAGTCTTGAGCATAGTTAGAAAGGGATGTCACTATATATAGCACATAGCGACATCCCTTTCTAACTGTACTCAAGTAAAGATCGACACTTAGTTGTCATTCTGTAATACGGACCTTAGTGTGTGCAAGAATACTCGAAATAGATATAGTTATCTTGATGTCTCAAGCGTCTATATCAGTTGTCAGGTCTCCCGATTTTACAGGAGAGCGTCTGTTTTTCTGAAACGCTTTCTATACATCTACAGCTTTTTTCTATAATGCCTCCCGATTTTTAAAAATTGGACTGGGCAACACTGGTCTATGGGCTGTCAGTTCAATTACTATCAAAAATGTCATATATTCTGCGGCATCACTACATTTTTAAAACGAATTATATTATGAAGGAAAAAAGAGGAGCTCGATGGCGCGGGTGGTTAGCGCGTTCGGCTGCGATCGTTGAAGTTAAGCAACTTTCGCAGTGGTCGGTCATTGGATGGGTGACCAAAAATTTACTATATGGAGCTCCTCTGTGCTTCGGAAGGCACGTTAAGCCGTTGGCCCCGGCTGCATCTGCAGTCGTCAGCACCCGCCAATCTGCACTGGGCCCGCGTGGTGGGTCATGGCCCAATCTCCCTATTCCATCCATAGGGAAGGCCTGTGCCCCAGCAGTGGGGACATTAATAGGCTGATGATGATGATATTAGGAAATTCATTTTACCTCCTCTTTCAAATCCTTGAGCGCGGCGTTTCTCACAATATCCCATGTTTTGCCGCCGTCATTCTCGGGAACGGTGCGCAAGCGCTTGTACTCGCCGTTCACTGAGCTGTACGCGGCTATGAAAGATTTCTGAAAATTCAAAACAGAATTTAGAATTGACACTTGTCGTTTTAAAACTTTCATAATCACTAACTTTGTAGTAAATTAAAATAGGGGGGAAAAAATGAGCGAGTCATACAGTAGTCGCGTATGATGTGTAACATTTGAAACCTCACCTTAAATTAGTGAAAAAAGAAATAAAACCTACTACAATATAATAATAAGCCATTTGAACATTATGTTTTAAAATCAAATCAAATAGCGCGCGCTTCCCAAACTTCCTTATACACACTTCCGTCCCATTTCACCTAATCACTCCCACATATTGAAGGAAAAATATTACATATCAAAAATCTAATACAAAAAATTCCATGCGGTCCAGGTATCAGACAGGAATCGAACTTGCAGTGCTATTCCTTAAGAACAAACTAACTTTCTAAATAAAATCTAAAAACAAATAAATAATAAAATTCATTCATTCAATTCATTCATTTAAATGTACTTAAATGAATATGACATAAAGTAATAATTAAATAAAGTAGGTATTAGGAAAATTATTGATTTAAACTACAATTTTTGCATGTCAATATATTTTTTTTTGTCTCAATCGATGTCTTCTTTCAGTAAAATATCCTATCTTCAATATTTAATGTACTTTCCCTCCGTGTGACAAACCTGTGGGACGCCCTGTATATATATATGTATACATCTTATTGTACTTGTGTACCTTTCTTAGCAAATAAAACAATTTAAAATTTGAACTCAAGTAAGACGACACGCCCCCACGGGACTATAAACCGTTTTTTGTGATAGTTAGAGGCTATTTTTCTATGAAGAAGTTTAACCATAGATTAAATTGGCGAAATGACCTATCTCTAGAGCCGTAAAGTTTTAAATAACCCGCATAAATACTCCTTATGCGGACCCCAAGCAGTTAAAACTGTACCAGGGTTGGATTTTGTACTATAATTATAGTATTCAACTATGATTTCGCCTTTTGTACTGTATACTATCCACATCTCAGGACAGTACGCTAAAATACTATAATTTAAAGTTTGCTCCCGAATGCTTAGTTTTACGTCATATAATGAATATTTCGACCGTGCTTGTAACCAAAACCAACCGAATTCTGATCATGCGATGTTTTCTGTGTTGATGACCGGGGATTCCTGACTATCTTCCGCAGTACACTTCTCTCATTCCACTAATCTTTGTTCCTTCCATTTCATTCGAAACTCAACCAAGGGCGGATCCAGCTTTGGCGCCAGGGGGGGTCATATAGCCAGCTTTGGCGCCAGGGGGGGGGGGGTCCTATAGCCAGCTTTGGCGCCGGGGGGGGTCATATAGCCAGCTTTGGCGCCGGGGGGGGGGGGGTCATATAGCCAGCTTTGGCGCCGGGGGGTCATATAGCCAGCTTTGGCGCCAGGGGGTCATATAGCCAGCTTTGGCGCCGGGGGGGGGGGGGGTCATATAGCCAGCTTTGGCGCCAGGGGGGGTCATATAACCAGCTTTGGCGCCGGGGGGGTCATATAGTCGTGTAATATTAAATATTGAAAGTACTTAAATAAAATCCCCCTGGGTTTGGTCCATCTGTACCCAGCCCAGGGGGGGTCATGACCCCCATGACCCCCCCCCCCCCCTGGATCCGCCCTTGAACTCAACCAAAGTTTGCTCTATGTTTTAACAATCACTTGCGAGTTTTTGTGTAAAACAATACGTTTACAGTGTTTTAATTATAGGAAGTGGCATCAAAAGCGGTAGCAGAAGTGGGAATTGTACTGATTTTATTACTACTGAGGATATATTTGTAGGAAATGCCAAGTATGAAGATAGAATAAGTTCCTTGGATAGAACTAATAGTAATAGGTATTCAAGAACTCATAGACTTAGAAGGGGAGTATATATTGCTTTAACGGGTGTTGATTTTATTGACTATTATATGTTAAATTAAAAATAATGAAAGTGTACTATATTTAAATCTAAAGAAAAGATTACTAGAAAAAAATCCACGCGGACCAGGCAGCGGACGGGACTCGAACCCGCATCCTTCGCTATCCGGGCGAATGCACTGACTATTATGCTACCACGGCCCTATTAGCCGCGTCGAAAATTTCCTAGCCTTAAGCTGCAAGGCAGCGCCATCTCCTCGCATTGTAGGTAACCCACAATTTTTTCTAGTAAACTTTTCTTTACATTTAAACATCTAGCAGTTAAATGCTTAAAAAAAAAACATAACTATAATTGCTATTTTTTCTTTCAAATGTTTAATACTTGAAAAAGTATTCATTTGACATTGTGGGTTACCTACAATGCGAAGAGATGGCGCTGCCTTGCAGCTTAAGGCCAGGAAAATTTCGACGCGGCTAATAGGGCCGTGGTAGCATAATGGTCAGTGCATTCGCCCGGATAGCGAAGGATGCGGGTTCGAGTCCCGTCCGCTGCCTGGTCCACGTGGATTTTTTTCTAGTAAACTTTTCTTTAGATTTATTATATGTTAAATTAAAAATAATGAAAGTGTACTATATTTTTTTTATAAATGGTATCCTTTTAATTTTTTGTGCTATCTTTTTCAACAAACCTAAATACAACCCTGAACTGTACCCACCTGCTGATCAGTAATCTGCTCCGCCATCTTCTCAGCGGTGCGAACGTGCCCCAAAGAAATGTACGGATTGTTCTGTTTACTCATGTGATTCGTGTCAAAGTCGTCCAGAAACTTGTCGAAGATGCTGATCGCCTCCTTTATGTTGGACAGCTTGGTTTCATCACGAGTGCCTTTAAACAAAACCATTATCACTGTGGACTAGGATTACCAACTTTTTTTCTATCAAATATAGTATTTTCGAAGCTGTTACCACTAAAAATATAGTAGACGGCAAAAAATGCAAAAAAATATGTGATTAAAATATAATAAGATTCAACTAAGAATAGGACCGACTGGACGCCATATTTTGACGTCATAGCTGTCAATTCAAACCAAATAGGTAGAGTGAGCAAAAAAATGTTGCTATTTAATAAAACTAAACGAAATAAGATTGAGTGATACAAAACATATTTTTTAATAAAATTAATTTACTAAAGTTGAGAAAGTACACAACCGATTTTTAATAGTATATGTTTATAAAGACTGTGTGAAAAAAAACATTAATCAGAATCTAGCTCTTCAATTTCGCTCATCTCTGCATAACCGCCGGAGAAGTTATTAGTGATCATGCAGGTCACATACGAACATGCATCCTATATGTAAACGAAAGTTTTAAATCGAGTTTCTGAACGCAACATAAAGTGACATTTGGTTGACGATTTAGGTTGTCAACCATTCATAGCCAAAACTCAATAAATGAAAAAAAAATCAACTATTATTAATCATCAACATTTGTAATTGCTTTATTTAAAATGTTTGGTTTTTATTCTAGAATCAGCTGAGTGCTAGAGTTACCCCTCCATCATCATCATTTTCAGCCTATTAATGTCCCCACTGCTGGGGCATAGTCCTTCCCTATGGATGGAATAGGGAGATTGAGTCATGACCCACCACGCGGGCCCAGTGCGGTTTGGCGGGTGCTAACGACTGCAGATGCAGCCGGGACCGACGGCTTAGCGTGCCTTCCGAAGCACGGAGGAACTCGAGTTAGAAGATTTTTGGTCACTCATCCAATGACCGACCATATGTATATATGTATTCTATCCGTTACCCTAGTATCCCATAACACAAGCTTTACAGTGCTTACTTTGGGGCTAAGTTAATTGGTGTGAGTGTTGGAAATATTCATTATTATTTATTTATAATGATCGGTTGAGTTCACTATCTCGACATTTTGTCGGTTTTAGTAAATACCCACAAGAAAAGAGGTATCTATATCCCCAATATGTCTTCTATTATTATGTAATTTAGTTTGATGTATTATATATTTAATAAACTGTAACATATATATGACTAGCTGTGCCCCGCGGTGTTACCCGCGGCTTATTAGGGATATTTTCCCGCAGTAAAAAGTAGCCTATGTGTTAATCCAGGATGTCAGCTGACTCCATACCAAATTTTACTAAAATCGCTCCAGCCGTTTAGACGTGAAGAAGTAACAAACATACACACTCACAAACTTTCGCCTTTATAATATTAGTGTGATTAATTATGAGAAGCACCTAACTAGCCTACCTATTTATTATTATTATTTATATATTTTTTTGAAGTTATACTTCTGTAGGCGCGTTATGAAAAAATTATGAGAGTGAAATTTTAAGATGCGCATGAAGTTGGTCGCTTTAGCGACCAACTTCATGCTGTTACTTTTGTGTTTACCGCACATTAAGAAAATCTACCAACAAAATAGAAATAAAATCTCTATTTAGTGGGTACTAACGACTGCATTGTAAAGGCCTATCAAAAGTATTTATTAATCTGGAACAACGGAACCAAAGCGCGATTCAGGAGACTACAGCGCCATCTCTTGACCATTGGTGTAGTAGAACCAAAAACCACATCTTTATTTTTTGTAATAAAGTAACAGTTATAGGTATTCAAATTTATAATATTTATCCACATGTTTCTAGTTTGTATATTCGGAATACGTGTTTGAGTTTCATACAAGTGCAAATCACATATGTTCTAATAAATTATATTCAGTAGCGATTTTAATTGAATATTTTGATTATTTATTTATTTTTTCAAATTAAAACTGAACTTTATTGACTGTGTCCTTTTCCAGACTTTTTATTAATTTATTGTAATTAATTATTTGCATGCAATTAAAAACTAATTTTAAACGATGCCAAAGAAGGATAACTTCTCACGCGCCTACATAAGTACACGCACCCATTTTTTTTGTTGTAAAGGTACATTAAACAGCCAAAGGCCAGCTAAAATGTACACATCTGCCCCCACCGGGATTCGAACCCGGGACCTCTCGAGTCGGCGACACCATGAAACCCGGCGTACAAACCACTCGGCCACGGAGGTCGTCAAAAAATAAAGAAAAAACATTGATGAAATAGTCTACAATCTTAGGTGATGAAACAAAGCGGGCGAAAGGAAGGAAAACTTGATATTACCAGAGAAAAATCAGTAATTGGGTACGAGTCTAAAAAACATTCATGTATCTGCAATCAACATACATACATTGAGGAGCTCGGTGGCGCAAGTGGTTAGCCCGTTCGGCTGCGATCGTTGAATTTAAGCAACTTTCGCAGTGGTCGGTCATTGGATGGGTGACCAAAAATCTTCTAACTCGAGTTCCTCCGTGCTTCGGAAGGCACGTTAAGCCGTTGGTCCCGGCTGCATCTGCAGTCGTTAGCACCCGCTAATCCGCATTGGGCCCGCGTGGTGGGTCATGGCCCTATCTCCCTATTCCATCCATAGGAAAGGCCTTCGCCCCAGCAGTGGGGACATTAATAGGCTGATGATGATGATACATTCACTATACTTACACGTGAGCACTCTCTTAGCCCGTCCAATCAGTCCCTTAACAGCCAGCTTCTGGTAATCAGGGTCCCTCCCTTCCAGTTCCTTTAAGGTCCCGTCTGCAGCCTCCTTGTCCTTGAACCCTAGACCTGGGACAGTGTCAGCAGGAAGCTCTTTCTTTTTGGGCTTCTCTTCCTCCATTTCGACGTCTGATGAAGAGTCCTGTACAATAAATTATAAATAAACTAACTGACCCAGCGAACTTCGTATCGCCATAAAAATATGGGTGGTAGAAGGATGAAAATTTAGAGCTGTATGTATTTTTAAACATGGTTTATTTTTTTTATTTGAAGTTATACTTCTTTAAGCGCGTTATGAAATAAGGAACAAAGCTACTTTAACAGTCGGGACCCATTAGATATTCAAGAATACATAATATTTTTCACCAGTGGGTCCCGACTGTTAAAGTAGCTTTGTTCCTTATTAACAGAATTATAGACTACTTGACTTGTTCTTTTCTTTTCAGTTTTTATTTGAAGTATAATTAAGCAGTCGGGTTTTTTGATTTTTTAAATTTACCTTTTTTATTTCACACTTTTTAGTTAGTTAGTATTTTAAGGCGGTATATACCGTAGTCTTGTTACTTCAGTATGGGAATTAATATCGCGGGAATTATTAAGTACCTGGCGTCGGTCTAAAAGATTGATTTATTAAGACATATAAAGACTTTACCAGCGGGGTCAAGGCTACAGATGGGCCTCAATTTTCGCAAAAATGTGTGAAGTTAAATCAAGTCGTTACATAAATATCTCTTATGTATGTAAATTTTATAGTAAACTAGCACTTACTCAAAAAGTCATCTTTTGTTTATGTTTTTTTTAATTGTTTAGCAGTAAATATAAAATTCATTTACTTTTATTCGTCGACTATTTAAAATTGGCAGTGGCTGCATTGTCATGTCAATGCCGGACGTCTAAGATTATGATATACACAAATTCAGTGTCAGTCCCTAATCTCATAATTTGATAAACCTACATAATTCACAGAAACCCAATATGTAGATGCCAGAAGTTAACTTCAAATGTTTTTTAATCACCCTATATACAATACCAATCAATGACGTTTATGTCGCGGGTTGAAGAAAGCAGTAATTCCCGTCTGTTGTTTTGGACAATGGTGGCAATTGCCTTAGCGAAAAATTGGTTATTTGTCATTATATTAAGTAAACCTTTTTTGTAACATTAAGTAATATCGTTAAAAAAAATGAAAAACAGTAAAATTCGGAGTTGTTCATTAAAATTCAATAATCATAAATATCTATTATAATAATATATTTTTCATCATTTAATAAGAAGGAACTGTATCACAGTTTTATTGTTAGTACTTCGTATAGGATCAGATACTGCGAATACCCCATTTTTTTTCTTTTACATAGTACACCGCGCTATCACTTTGTCATCGTTGTAACTTTTTAAATATTTGTCGAAATGACATAGTGTAAAAAGCAAAGTTTATCGTCTTTAAATATCAAAAGCGATAAAAGTATTTGTTTGGATAAAAAATGATTTGTTAATACAAAATGTGCATTTTGGAAATAGATATCAAATAATATTTTAGTTTTGATTCACTATTTTAGCGGTAACGACTTACACATTAAAAATAGATATATGGTGTCACGGACTTTTTTTTACAACTATTTAAGAGATACATTTTCACTCTACATTACATTCATGTAACTTTTATTGTTTTTGCAGTGCAGGCCAAAATGGCTCGCAGATGGGAGATTTTTTCCCGTCTTATGTGACACTTATTGTTATATATTGGCCAATTCACTCAATAACTACATAAATTATTATATATATGTAATTATCACATATGAGCTATATTACTGTTAAGTTTCATTAAAATCCATTCAGTATTTTTTAGGTGAAAGAGTAACAAAGATCCATACAAACGTAAGATTGAAATTAAAAGCGAAAGTGGTTAATATACAAGTTTTAAGCGTTGTAGATCCTAAACAATCATATAAAATGGTGTTAGGAACCTACATATGATTTTTTATTATCTAGACAGTGATACCCCACTCGACATATTTTGTCAACTTATTTTTTTTACTTCGTCACAATATGGCGCCTAATGTTGCCCATATTGAATTTTGATTACTATCATATCTTTAGTAGCACTCCCATGATTGAGACGAATCGATTGATGTATGAATCATCAATATCGGTCCAGGCGTTTGGTCTCTAGTGTGCCACAAAGGAACAAACATACATATATAGACTGTTAAACACATAACCCTGTCTGCGCGTCGCTCTTCGCGCTCTTGCATTGCGCAGCCGGGTAAAAATGATGACAGTGAAATTTTAAGATGCGCGCGCATCACTGTAACACAAAATTTTAACAGCATGAAGTTGGTCGCTTTAACTACCAACTTCATGCTAGGCTTGTTGAAAATATATCGATGTATCGATATATCGATATTTTTTGTTCGATATATCGATATTTTTTGCCGATATATTTTGATTCGATATATCGATACATCGATACAAAATAACCAATATCGAAATTCGTATCAAAAACGATATTTTTTTAATTATTAGCGGCATATTATCACGATCTAACTAAATTCGTATCTGGAAAAATCGTAACTGGATCTCAGATTAATGATATTCAACATATCTATGATCTGTGCTGTATTTAGTATTGTCTATGTCATCATTGGAAAATAGGGTCTATTTTTAGGGAGATAATTTTCGTTCCATTATTATTCCGCGTGTCATATTTCGTGAGCTCCTGTACGATATTTTTGGGAAAATTGGTTCGATATATCGATGTTTTTTCGCGATATATCGAAGCCGATATTGATATTTTTTTTAATTTTTTTCAACTTTCGACATCCCTACTTCATGCTGTTACTTTTGTGTTTACCGCACATTAAGAAAATCTACCAACAAAAGAGAAATAGAATCTCTATTTAGTGGGTGCTAACGACTGCATTGTGAAGGCCTATCAAAAGTATTTATTAATCTGGAACAACGGAACCAAAGCGCGATTCAGGAGACTACAGCGCCATCTCTTGACCATTGGTGTAGTAGAACCAAAAACCTCATCTTTATTTTTTGTAATAAAGTAACAGTTATAGGTATTCATATTTATAATATTTATCCACATGTTTCTAGTTTGTATATTCGGAATACGTGTTTGAGTTTCATACAAGTGCAAATCACATATGTTCTAATAAATTATATTCAGTAGCGATTTTAATTGAATATTTTGATTATTTATTTATTTTTTCAAATTAAAACTGAACTTTATTGACTGTGTCCTTTTCCAGACTTTTTATTAATTTATTGTAATTAATTATTTGCATGCAATTAAAAACTAATTTGAAACGATGCCAAAGAAGGATAACTTCTCACGCGCCTACATAAGTACACGCACCCATTTTTTTTGTGGCATTAAAAAAAAAATCTAAAAACATGTTAGGGACCGTCCATATATTACGTCATTCTAAATTAGGGGGGGGGGGGTTGGTCTGCGGATGACGGTAAATGATAGATAGGGGGGGGGGGGTGTTTCGAAATTGACGTCATTCTTATTTATTTATAGTTTATTGTTCACGTACAAAAAGATTATTTCTAAAAAGAATTTTCTTCCAGCACACCTAGTAAGTGAGACTGCAAATGTGAGAGGCGGCTAAGGCGCGTACAATACTAAAATAACTCATAATAAATATACATAATGCAACATAGATGTACACAAATACAGTAATAACAACAAATAAAATACTCTAACAATAATATTACATATAATACTTGCTTTTCTCAAATCTGACGTCAATTTTGGGAGAAGAGGGGGGGGGGGGGGGGGGGTGTCTAAAATCTGAAAAAATCGATTACGTAATTTATGGACGGCCCCTTAGGGGTGGACAAATTCTTATCACTTAGGGGTATGCAAAACAGATGTATAGCCGATTCTCAGACCGACGGAATATGCATATAAAGTTTCATAAAAATCGGTTTAGCCGTTTCGGAGGAGTATGGTAACTAACATTGTGACACGAGAATTTTATATATAAGATAAATATTTCCAATACTCGCAACAATGAGAGCATTTAAGTATGACGCTCTAAGATTTTAATACATTTTTCGAACTGTCCCCTGTACTTGTTTTTAGTACGATTTATTTTAACTTTAAACTCAACCGACAAGGGTAAAGAAGAAATTCTTCTCGTTCAGTACTAACGTATATACCATGATAAAATAAAAATATATTTTTTAAATATCTACCTGTATTTTCGAATATTGAATTTATATATATATATATATATATATTATATGATATTCAGTATGTTTGATGACCTCCGTGGCTGAGTGGTATGTACGTCGGGTTTTATGATGTCGCCGACTCGAGAGGTCCCGGGTTCGAATCCCGGTGGGGGCAGATGTTTGTGTGATGAATACGAACATTTGTACTCCAGTCATGGATGTTTAATATGTATTTCTATATAAATATACTTATATATGTACAGTATATGTATTCTATCCGTTACCCTAGCATCCCATAACACAAGCCTTACAGTGCTTCCTTTGGGGCTAGGCTAATAGGTGTGAATGATATATATATAAAAAAAATGTATAACAGAAAAAAAACCGTCCAGGTTTCAAACGGGGTTCGAACCGTCTTCTTCCGTTATCCTATCAAATGTTAAAATCAGTTACGGCACCGCGGCCTTAGTGGCCATGTCGAATTTTACTCTAGTATTTTTTAGGCTGCAAAGCAGCGCCAGAAGAAAGGATCTCACCTCTTCGCCTCCATTCTTCTCTTCCGACTCTCTCTTCTTGCTAGTCTTCTCCTTCTGCTCAGTCTTCTGTTCTTTGTCCTTGTCCAAGTCCTGCAGCCACTTCTCGAACACCTCCATGGCCTCTTTTATGTTCTTGATTTTGTCTTCTGCTTTTGTCACTGCAAGAATATAAGAAAAAAAATGGGGATTGTTACCATGCATCTTGTTTTTAGCGAGTTTCCGATATTTCGGCACTGTTGCAAGCGCCATGATCACGGAGTAAGTCTTGAAACAATATATAAGATTTTTTTTGGAAATTTTTAAATTCCAAATGAGACAAAAATTCAGGAGCCCGATGGCGCGGGTTAGCGCGTTCGGCTGCGATCGTTGAAGTTAAGCAACTTTCGCAGTGGTCGGTCATTGGATGGGTGACCGAAAATCATCTCGAGTTCCTCCGTGCTTCGGAAGGCACGTTAAGCAGTTGGTCCTGGCTGCATCTGCAGTCGTTAGCACCCGCCAATCCGCACTGGGCCCGCGTGGTGGGTCATGGCCCAATTTCCCTATTCCATTAATAGGGAAGGCCTGTGCCCCAGCAGTGGGGACATTAATAGGCTGATGATGACTATTCGCAAGTGGAATTCTTGCCCGCGCACGTGTTCCTTCCTACAATCTGAGGTCATTTAAGAGAGGCGTGAAGAAGCATTTTTGCAGGCCGGCAAGGTGAGTACCAGCTATCTTCGCGTCTAGACTAGAGATGGGCGTCTTTAGATATTTGTGAAATCGATACGCATCGGTATCAGATAAATCGCATAGGATACGCGTGCCAAGTGAATGTCAGTATCGTAGTATCACAGGATACGATGCGATATGAATTACGACAGATGCGTGTTTTGTGTGGGTGTCTCTTCGATTCCATGGTTTTTTTCTGACTTAAAAACGAAATGATTTATTTAGTTATAATTTTTATTTTTTAAAGCATGTAACTGCTTGATGTTTATATATAAAGAAAATATAACTAGAAAAAATTCCACGCGGACCAGGCAGCAGACGGGACTCGAACCCGCACCCTTCGCAATCCGGGCGAATGCACTGACCAATTATGGTACCGCGGCCCTCACGGACCGCGTCGAAATTCCTCTAGCCATTCTTAAGCTGCAAGGCAGCGCCATCTCTTCGCATTATAGCTATAATTGCTATTGCTTCTTTCAAATGTTTAATACTTGTAAAAGTATTCATTTGACATTGTGGGTTGCCCGTTGTTGTTTGTTTGTCCCGTCTGCTGCCTGATCCGCGTGGAATTTTTTCTAGTTATATTTTCTTTATGATTTATTTACTTGTCGGTATGGTAACTGAAAATATTGAAATATTGAATGGATCGGAAAGCGTCACTTTAGCAGTTTTGTTTTTCTTGTTTAAAATTGTGTTGTGGCGGATGTTAGAGTCTAATAATGGTGGATTATTAACCACTAAGTGTTCGGGAACATGCATAAGTGTTGGCAAGTGCAACAAAATAACGGAAAGTGTCTTTCGACGTTCCCTCAAGAAGTCCACGGGGAGGTTCCAGTAAATCCCCACACATTTACTGAAACACAGGGAAAGGGGGATTGACTTGACTGCCACTTACTTTGACTTATTATAATACGTTGACCACGAGTGCTATAGAATTTGTAAACATTTTTAACACTTGACATTGGCTAAATGCACAAGCCGTGCGAAGCCATTGACGAAAAAAAAACATCAGATGGGGTAGGTAAATTCATTGGTATCGATTCTGGCATGATTCTCTAAATCTAAACTTAAATTTGACAACAGTGTATTCGTCATTCTCTATACAAAACGAAAAGGAGAGACTGATGTTAAATTTAGTTTTAAGATTAGAGAATTACGCCAGATTCGACACCATTGCCTACCTAGCTATAAAAAATCATTTATGATCGACTTACTCGAAAGCACACGCTTGGCTCTTCCCAGCAGTCCCCTCACTGTCAGCCGTCTGTAGTTCATGGGGTGCTCCTCCAACAGCCTGAGGGTATCCTCTGCCTTTGCCTTGTCTTTGAAACCGAATCCAGAGTCTTCTTTATCGTCTTTGCCCATTTTCTGGAATTTGAAAAAAAAATATTCAGATAATTTATGAAGTGAAAACTTAAGTATCGTTGTGACTTGAGATTCGATGAAACGGCAGTGAAGTACTTATTTGACACAGGTTAGGTATCCGTAATTTTATCATTTACTATAAGACAATGATGGAAAGGGTCCGGAAGTTCGATCCTGAGCTTTGATATGGTTTTTTTTTCTTATATTAAGTTATTTTTTTTTACACAATTTCAGTATTATTTAAATTTGCTCAGTATTTTATAATACCTGAATAGTTAAGTATTAAAGTTTGGTAGGTGCCTAAGTTGTTTATAAATACAGGCTTGGTTTTTATCAACAATCCTTACTTTTCCAATGTTTGCAATTTTTTGACAGTACTTTTTATAAATAAATATTTCGAAAAAACCTAAAATAAGAGAAACATAACCTAAGAAATTAAATAAAAATAGCTGGTTACAAATAAAGCCGCGGGCGGCTGAAGAACTTTTACGTGTTCATATTTTTGTAGGTTTTTCATCATTACGCAAATAAAACTATAATCTTTTCACATCACTGATCTTTTCATACACGGGTAAATCTTGAAGAACATGTGGATATATCCATAGATAAATGATTGGAGTGTAGCGACACCAACCATTTATCTATGTATATAACATACTTTAATATTAAATCATGAGAAAAGAGTGTATTCTACAAAATAGGGTATTTGACAGTATTAAAAATAAAGTGCCAATTGTTAGCATCTGTGTTTAGAATGAATATTGACAGGGGTTTTTACTATTTTTACATAAAAAATATTCATAATTTTACTAAAAACTAACGAAAAAAATTATAGTTTGCTTATCTATTGTCACGTGACCCAAAACGCTTGGGATTGGCGGAGCCTAAAATGACGTCACACGCAAGTAAACTTCCGGTTAAAGTGACATTACATTGTATCGTTTAACGTTTTAATAACAGTTGCGTGACGTCACACACTAGTAAGGGGCTGTTCATTAAACACGTGAGGCTCGAAAGGGGGGGAGGGGTCCATAAAAAATAAGCGAAATATCACAAGGGGGGAGGGGACTGTAGTAATATATCACATGTATTTTCGTGGTCCGGGGAACCTGTACATTAAATAATGTTCATGTATAATGTATATGTACAAAAAAGTTTTTCGCATTTCTTTCATTATTTTTATGTCAGTCAAAAACCACCTGCAACCTTTCTGTCGTCTCTAATTAGTTAATCTTAATTTTTTTAGAATAAAATTAGATGATACTTATACCTGTACTTCATAAATATTAAAAAAATAAGATTTATTGTAGCTAGTAATTAATACACGTGATATAGGGGGGTTGTCTTAAACCTCACCATGTATTACCAAGGGGGAGGGAGGGGTTAAAAATGCCATAAAAACATCACGAGATTAATGGTAGGGGCCGTCCATATTATCCAGAAAAACGTTTTCGCGGCAACTTGAAAATGGAGTTTTTGATTTGCTTATTTTTACTGAAATACACAACAGAATGATGAATATCCACTTTTTACGGACTCCATAAACATTAGTCAATAACGTGAGAACGTTTTCTAAACCTTGTCAAATACCCTTTGAAACGTCCACGAGGTCACCGTTTATCGCGGAGCACGAACTTCAAACTGTTGTTAATTTTTTTTTTTGAAGTTATACTTCTTTAGGCGCGTTATGAAAAAAATGATGAGAGTGAAATTTTAAGATGCGCGCGCATCACTGTAACACAAAATTTTAACAGCATGAAGTTGGTCGCTTTAGCGACCAACTTCATGCGTTACTTTTGTGTTTACCGCACATTAAGAAAATCTACCAACAAAATAGAATCTCTATTTAGTGGGTGCTAACGACTGCATTGTGAAGGCCTATCAAAAGTATTTATTAATCTGGAACAACGGAACCAAAGCGCGATTCAGGAGACTACAGCGCCATCTCTTGACCATTGGTGTAGTAGAACCAAAAACCACATCTTTATGTAGCAGTTATAGGTATTCATATTTATAATATCAAAAGTATTTATTAATCTGGAACAACGGAACCAAAGCGCGATTCAGGAGACTACAGCGCCATCTCTTGACCATTGGTGTAGTAGAACCAAAAACCACATCTTTATTTTTTGTATTTATCCACATGTTTCTAGTTTGTATATTCGGAATACGTGTTTGAGTTTCATACAAGTGCAAATCACATATGTTCTAATAAATTATATTCAGTAGCGATTTTAATTGAATATTTTGATTGTTTATTTATTTTTTCAAATTAAAACTGAACTTTATTGACTGTGTCCTTTTCCAGACTTTTTATTAATTTATTGTAATTAAAAACTAATTTTAAACGATGCCAAAGAAGGATAACTTCTCACGCGCCTACATAAGTACACGCACCCATTTTTTTATTTTCTTGGATCTATTGATATTGATTTGATTATTTTATCGTAGTTTTTTCTGATATCCTTAATACAAAAGTTGTACAATATTTATTTAATGGACATCGTCTGATATGTTTATTACAGTTCATTTCTTGCTCGTTAATCGCTACATAGCTTCTATCTAATCTTTGTAAAATATGTAAAAAAAATGATTTTTTTAATTCGTTTTACTGCCGCCATCTATCGAGAAATTCAGCATTGTCTTATACGATACGAAACAAAAAAAAATTTGAATGAAAAAAAAAATTTTGAAGTCGGTTGAAACAGGAGACCACTGATAATTATTGAGCCAACCCAACCTATGGCATTAACGTTAAAAGGACAAAAAATTAGGTCTAAACTTTAATTACACTTAATGAATAGGAATGATCTCTCTTAATTTCTCGGACAAAGAATTAGTCTATCCATTCAAAGGGGTAACGCTGCCAGTATCTTCGGATCCTTGCCTAAAGGGACTTTTTAATAATATATTTTAGTTATTAATTTTATTTTTAAGGTTTTTAGTTTTAGTTTTATTGTTCTAGTATTTATATATATAGTAATTATGTAATTAGATTATAGGAATCCATATAATTAATACGTATTGTAAATCCTAAAGTAACTCTGCCATGCTTTCATGATAAAGAATAGTCCAAGTTCAGAGACTTCAATATTTGATGATTTATAATGCGAGATGTTAGTAAAAGAATTTTAAAGAAAATGACAGCACGAATTTTAATCAAACTTTAAATGGATGGAATAGGGAGATTGGGCCATGACCCACCACGCGGGCCCAGTGCGAATTGGTGGGTTCTAACGACTGCAGATGCAGCCGGGACCAACGGCTTAACGTGCCTTCCGAAGCACGGAGGAGCTCGAGATAGTAAATTTTTGGTCACCCATCCAATGACCGACCACTGCGAAAGTTGCTTAATTTCAACGATCGCAGCCGAACGCGCTAACCAAATGCGCCATCGAGCTCCTCTATGGGGGATTATTGAGTATCTGGTAATTTTAATCGTCTTATATCGTATGTCCTAGTGTAATTTTTACAAGCTTTTATTTAACTTGCTATGTATGTTTGTTACGGTCAAATCTTACAACTCAATTTTAAAGCACTTGCCCTCAACCGATTAAGCTGAAATTTGGTATGCTCGTTCAGTTCGGATGACAATGCATGATTAACAGTGTGACGTCATTCTAAATCCAATATGGCGGCATACCCAAAATGTAAATCATTTTTAATGCATTCCTACAATATGGGTATCAAATGAAAGGGCTTGCTGATAGTAACTCGAAAAAAATGTGACGTCACTCTCAATCCAATATGGCGGACTTCTAAAATTTGAAAACCTATTTAGAAACAAACTACTTAACTAAATTTTCTTTTTTTCTTTTTAGCGCATTTGAATAAAAGCTTGTTTTTAAAAAGGTTTTTTTTTAAATTTATTAATGTTGCACTGACATTACGTTCTGATGGGGCAGCTTAAAAATTATTCGGTAGACAAGTTTAATCCTAGAATTTCGAAAAATAATTAAAACGTTGTTGTATATAATTTTCTTTACATTTGAACATCGAGCAGTTACATACTTAAAAAAGTCAAATTATAACTATTAATAATTTGTTTTACTTGGCAATCCTGTTTAAAACAACTCAGCCTTATTCTGCCGTCCTCAAACTAAAGGGCGGCTAAATGACATGCGGTCGATTTTTCAGCCCAAAATTGCATCTTAAATAGTTTTTAATACTCTATCGATCTATCTTTAACAAGTTTTTGTATCGTTTATAGTTTAAGTCTAAAAATCCGTCAGGTGCTGAATGGTTACAAAATAGCAATAATTTAAAGTTCACGAGCCGTTTTTTTGGCCATATCTCAAAAGTTGGTTTTGTCATTTAGCCGCGTTTTAGCTTGACGACGACAGTATTGTTTATCGCTAAAACCAACTTACTATAATCTGTAGTACAAACAAACAATATAACTAATACATTCTTTGTCGAGTACGTGACATTGTCGTATTACGCTATGCATAGCATACATTATTTCGCCTGCCTAGTGATAAGTCGGAAATTTAAACATATTACGTAAGAATCGGAATAAATAAACACACATAGTGGAAGCACAGACAGAAATAGGTAATACTTATTTTAGTATTGTACTTATTATAATGTAAACATATAAGCGAAAAGGCTCGCGCTGGGAAATGATGTCATCTGTCTTTGCTTTAAAAAGAAATACACAGTTGAGTAGGTAAACTTTATTTGTAGACAAAATTCAATGCCATTGATACCTATATCGTATCACAATACATATACGAAAATTTATTACCTACTTGTAAGAAAAAAATATTATTTAGTTTCATAAAAACAGTGATGTTCACACACTTGATACAAGAAACAGAAATAAACTAACTTTACCTGCTACTAAGGCTTCACAAAATCAATTTCTCGAACACTAGATATCGTATTATACGGACAAAATAAAGAGTTAACTTGTGTTCATTTCATCACCAGCCTAATAATATCCTCACTGCTGGAGCACAGGCCTTCCCTATGGATGGAATAGGGAGATTGGGCCGTGACCCACCACGCGGGCCCAGTGCGGAATGGTGGGTGCTAACGACTGCAGATGCAGCAGGGACCAACGGCTCAACGTGCCTTCCGAAGCACGGAGGAGTGAGAGATAGTAAATTTTTGGTCACCCATCCAATGGCCGACCACTGCGAAAGTTACTTAACTTCAACGATCGCCGCCGAACGCGCTTAGCGTGCCTTTCGAAGCACGTATCTCTCTCCCTCTATTTGATCCAGTTTTCATTATTAATTTGTTGAACAGTTAAGTTTTGTCCGAGTTTTGAAAGAATAGATTCTTAGTTCGTCATTTAAATTATCAAAATATAATCGACACTTACTTTTTCTTTTGTCAATCTACCAAATAGTTACAAGTGCGAGCGAGTCAGTGTGTGGGAGTGGGGGCTGGTGACGTAGCTTCTAAGTTAAAATTGTATCAAGACATGACGTCATACATGGGACATTTCAAATCAATATTTCTGCCAAAGTTTTTGATTATGTGAATAAAGAAAAAAAACACAGATCTAATGCTTTACACGACTTGAAAGGGCATTGAAAATTAATTTACCTATTATAGATTATACAAAATTTTTAATTTTTTTTTCAGAACTAAAAAATTTTTTTTTTCATAACAAAAAAAATTTTTTTTTAAAACCAAATGTTACAAAGTGTTTTTACATCATCTAAAAGCCCTTCGAATTCTGAGTCTTTAGAGCTGTCGTACGTCCTCGTGGCCAAGCCGCGCACCTCTCGCGGCTAAGGGCGACGAGGCTACAGCCTCAACCGACACCAATATCGAAAAAAGTGTAATAAATAAAAATGTTCCTTGGTTCAATACAGAGGTGTTTTTTTTTTCATATATTTAAAATACGGCCCCGTTTTCGAGATATCTGAGTTAGAGTTCTATGTTTTCTGCCGCGTCTCGCTCGTTTCGTTACAATAACATATTTACTGTATTATATTTAAGATTATCTACATTCTTAATGGCGGAACCGTAAATAACAGTACCCTTAGTACGAGTTTTACAATTACGAAAACTATGATAGTTTTCGTGAGCTCGCACCGTATTAGGAATACTGATTTTATTGTTTTCGTTTCAATACAAACAAACAGTGTTTAAATTCTATCATAAAATCATTTGTTTCTTATTAAATTTTAAGTATATTTGGTTACTTTTCACCAAAATGGACATAGAAACATAATTTACAATTACTAAAACTATTAGATATTTTTCGTGAGCTCAAACTCGTACTAAGGGTACAGCACACACAGTCTCACACAGGTGACTCGGTGACGCATGTTACGTTACGTTTCACGCAATTGAAAAACAGAAAATCGTATTCTAAGAAAAACAGTAGCTTCATGTAGAGAAACAAAAGAACAGGAAACATTTCATGAAAACAGGAAATATCCAAAAATATTCTGTAAAATCGGGAGAACTGGCAATTCTGTCTGGCACTATTCCCTCCACCTCCCGACCACCCATTGGGCCGTCTCAATGGCTGCTCGGTGTGGGGGGCCCTACCCAGCTCTCTCCTCGCCAATGATGACGTCTTGGGCTCTTTGTTGGATATCAACGTTAAAACCTAAGTAATTAATATTCGCCTCGCTGGCGCAATGTTTTAAATGTATTATAATTTTTAATCACATTGCAATTCCAATTATCTTTAATTGTCGCTAACTAGGTCTCCTAGAAAGTCTATCATTTTAACGCCTTCTGTAATCTGTATCATGTATGCACCTCAGAAAAAAAAACCTAATTCCTACCAATATAAAAAATGTGAGTTTGTATGATTGTTTCGTTACTCATCACGCAGAAACGGTTGGACGGATTTGGATGAAATTTGGCACACTTGTAGGTTATTACCTGGATTGAGACAGGTGATACTTTTCATTTCAATCAGTTTACAATTTTATCCTAGTTACTTTTAGGTAAAACAGATGCCTTAAATAAATACCACACACGAAAAATAAGAATCTTATTCGACCTCAAAGATATTGTTATTGACTTTTTTTTATACCTTTTGTCTAGTTTTGTTAAACGAAATCAAGAATTTTACATACCTAATTCATTCATTCAACTGCCCCTATAAAAAAATCGTAAAAGCTAAAAATATATGAGCAATACTTACGTTAAATATAAATAAATTAAGTACTTGAATTCCACAAAACCGCAACTCTTTGTTCCGAGACCACGACACTAAATTTAAAACTATTAAAATTAAAACAACAAACACTATTTCAGTTCCTTCTCCTGTGGCGTTTTGTGTTGACTATTCGAATTTCGAATGCCACAGCGGGATCAATTCGCTTATAACCCGCCTAGAAAAAGTACGCTATCTCCCAAAACGGTGTTAACGTAGAAATGTTGATATTTAAATTGGGCGCTTATAATGCGCGTTGTGCCGCGCCGCCATTTCAACCGAAAATATTAGTGACGTAATCGTATTGCCGGCATGAGTCAAGGCCATGTATGTTTATTTCTCGCGTTGACATCATCAACTCGTCCTAGTTATGTAGTTATTTAGTAAGATTCGTAATAAAACCTTGAACGTTTACCTACAAGAGTCTTGTGTTTGACTCGAAATACCGATGATTGAGTTTTTAAATTCACACTGGAGTTGATGTCTGTGTTCCGTAATTAAAAATAAAATATTTAACCACTTTAAAGGTAGTTGGTTTTTGTTGTTTCAGTTGTTTGTCTGTCAAGAATTACCTATATTTTTTTTAGAAATACATATTATATGTAAAAAGCCTTGACGAACGCTCGTATTCATCACAAAAACATTTGCTCCACCTGGATTTAAACCCGGGACCTCTGAGTAGGCTACACCTTGAAAACCGGTGTACCATACCATATTCCACCGCTTCAAGCATTATATAAACACTAGCCGTGCCCCGCGGTTTCACCTGCGTTTTACTCGTTTCCGTGGAAATACCGAGATAAAATATATAGGTACCAACTCTTAACATCTTACATACGTGATAACTTTTAAACGAAATATCCGATTGAGATGAAACAAAAAGTATTTTACTTCTACATAAATACTTTGGATAACATTATGCTTAATTTCGATAAAGATTAATATTACGATACATATTTAACGTAGATTTTTTTTCTTCAGACGTTCGAATAATTATTTTGAACACAAAGTCGGTTATTGTGATTAAACCATGATAGCTAGATATATGTTCTCGCGGACTTTTTTGTAGGTCGTAATCTCAGACCAAATTTATTTGGTCTGAGGTCGTAATGAGATCTACAAACCCGTAGTACATCATTTTGTTCTATTGTCAATAGTTTTTGCAGCGCACGCAAAAATAGGTTTTCGATTTTACACCTTGTGTTACAAAATAGCATTTTTTATACGGATCCCTAATTTTGAAATAAAAATATAGCCTATAGCCTTCCTCGATAAATGGACTACCCAACACTGAAAGAATCATTCAAATCGGACCAGTAGTTCCAGAGATTAGCGCGTTCAAACAAACAATCAAAGAAACTCTGCAACTTTATAATATTAGTATAGATAATAAGTGGTTTCATTTTCCTATTAGCATAATTTTGATATGTATGGAAATAAAATTGTGAATAACAAACATAAAACGATTAAAGTTCAATTCGAGCTCAAGTTTTTTACAATGAGGGCTATCGCGTATGAATCCGCCGCTAGAGGCGCTAGTGTAGCGTGTGGTCTCCGAAATGTCAAATGTTATTACTTGTTGGTTGACTACGCGGGTTTATTTCTAATTAAAATAATGTTGTGAATAATTGGTAACAATTCGGCTTAATTATGGCAAATATGAGTTATGTGGCAATGAATATCAGTTATTAAAAATTTGAGCTTAGAAAAATGATTATGTTCCCATTTTTTCCGAATAAAACGGAACTGCGCGTCACTGTGGCATGGCCTATTATGTTTAGGATATGGTTCTTTTGTGTTAAAATACGATCTAAATGTAACCTTTGATTTCATGTGCATATTAATAAACTTTAAAAGTTACAATAATTTAGGACCTCACTCAACAGAGGCGCCATCTGGTGAGGCAGAAAACGGTAGCCCTCATTCTATAGTGATTTAAAATTGTAGAAGAAAATAAAATATATTTTATTCTTAATTTCATAGAAGTATGTAAGGGCAGGGCCAGATTTAGAGGTGTATTTGGGTAACGAACGAGTGGCGGCCCCTAACGAGGAAGTATTTTAAAATCTGGGCCACTTATTATGACGACCTCCGAGGCCGACTGGTTTGGTCGCCGGGTTTGAATCCCGGTGGGTACAGATGTTTGTGTGATGAATACGAGCATTTGTACTTACTTTTTATGATTTGCGCGCACTGTCGGATTTAGGGGAGGGCAACCGGGGCGAAAGCCCCGGGGTCTCCACAAACGGGGGGCCCCCACAATAGAGACTTCGGAAAAAAAAATCTTTCAAATTCCAACTAGTAAACACTAGTAAACATCTTTTCCTTTGATATATTTTTTTGCTCTTTTACCTTTACCCAGAGCCGAATTCAAGGCAGGCTGTTGTGGGGCCTCCACAACAGCTTAAGAAATAACAACATTTCGATGGGTCAATAAGCATACAAATCCTAAGTGGCCCGGGGCCTCCACAATCCTAAATCCGGCCCTGTTTGCGCGAGAAAAAGACGAGTACATTACTCACCTTCGATTTTCTGATCATCATCAGCCTATTAATGTGTGCCAGTGCGGATTGGTGGGTGCTATCGACTGCAGATGCAGCCGGGACCAACGGCTTAGCGTGCCTTCCGAAGCACGGAGGAGCTCGAGACAGTAATTTTATGGTCACCCAATCCAATGATCGACCACTGCGAAAGTTGCTTAACATCAACGATCGCAGCCGAACGCGCTAACCACTTGCGCCATCGAGCTCCTCCTTTCCGATGATAAAGTCGTAATGGCAGACGCTTTAGCAGATCTCTATACAATGCTGAACCACCTCAGCCGGCCGGCCTTAAAATCAACATGAGGAAGACGAAACTCATGTCTAACTCTCTAACTATCAGGGGCCCAATTCTCGCGGCGTAGATATTATATCGGCTTCGAGATAATATCGAAAGGAGGGATATCTATTGAAAATATCTACTGATGGTAAAAAATGCTATTCTCGTGGATTTTCGATATTCCAATGATCGTAGATATTCTGTCACTGCCGAATGCGTTCCGTTTTTCTCGATTAAGTTAACATCATAGTCTATATAAAATAATAATAAATTAGAGCAGAATTTTACAAGCAACAAAATGATATTTTATGAATTCCATTCATATTAAATATGAGTATACATTTTTTGAGTATAAGAAATCTCAACTTTACCTAAATTGTATGCGTGTATAATTTCAACGTTATGTATAATGAAACGTCAATATTATTTAAGATTCTCCCTTTTTAGGGAAGGCAAAGGGAACAATGCCCATACAGCCTAGCCTTTAGTTATATTAATCTTCTTTTTTTACATTAGAATGTCGGTGTGACGCATTCTAATGTTTCTTGGAGTGTTTGGCACGAAATTTATGGAGTTGGCTTTTTCTCTAAGCTTCTGTGAGGTAGTCAACACTACAATAAAGTTCTCGCGTCCACTTGACCGCGTATATATTAAAGATTCCACTAATTCTTCAGTTGCGCAGACGGTTGTAACACCAAATCACACCAATTTTATTTCACAATATCCACTATGAACGAATTTTAGAATAATTAAAATAAGACGCCAACCGCACTCGCAGAAATCCCGCCAAAAACTCCGTATCGTCAATAAGAAAATGGAGTCGATTCTGGCATGATTCTCTAAACCTAAACGTAAATTTGACAACAGTGTATCCTTGTCATTCTCCATACAGAATGAAAAGGAGAGACTGATGTTAAATTTAGTTTTAAGTTTAGAGAATCGTGTCAGAATCGATACCAATGTCATTCATAACTTTATAGATTTCTAACCAAATTTTTGTTTAAACGTAATTTTTTTATGAAGTCGGCGTCCCTCATTTCAAATGGACCCTCTTGCTCTCACAACGGGCGGCGCCTTAGCACAGCAGCAGCAATCACGTCATTTACTAAATCATTGACGAAAACATGAATCAACTCATCCATCGTTAATATAAACTGGTGTCGATTCAGGCACGATTCTCTAAATCTAAACTTAAACTTGACAACAGTGGTGCCAATTCTGGCGTGATTCTCTAAACTTAAATCTAAATTTAACATCAGTCCCTCCTTTTCATTCTGTATTGAGAATGACAAGGATATACTGCTGTATAATTTAAGTTTAGGTTTAGAGAATCATGCTAGAATCGACACCACTGTTTCCTTGTCATTCTCTATACAGAATTAAAAAGAGAGACTGATGTTAAATTTAGGATTAAGTTTAGAGAAGCTGAACGCACAAACCGTGCATGCCATAAAAAAAGAAAAAGAAGTTTAGAGAATCACGCCAGAATCGACACCATTGTTTACCTACTTCTTTATTTACTAATTATTTATGAAGGCAGTTAACAACATCTTGAGGTAACAATAATTGGCAATGGCACACGACAACACAACAAATAATAGGTAAAAAAAGTGGAAATAACAAGATAATGGTGTCGATTCTAGCATGATTCTCTAAACCTAAACTTAAATTTGACAGCAGTATATCCTTGTCATTCTCTATACAGAATGAAAAGGAGAGACTGATGTTAAATTTAGTTTTAAGTTTAGAGAATCACGCCAGAATTGGCACCAATATAAATAATAAGATTAATAAAGAATAAAAAAAAAAAAAAAAAAGATTGACATGCCAAGATCCATAGATATTTATATATCGAAGGCTCTTTACCAGTCGATGTAAGTCTACTGATCATCCGTAGATAAATATCTATTGCGACATGGTGAGAATAGGGCAAAAAGGTTTTCCTTCGATAAAAGCCAGATCATTCGATATATATCGAAGGTGATATAATATCTATGCCGCGAGAATTGGGCCCCAGTTTCCATTCCACCCGGTAATCGTTGAGAACTCTGCGCTCGAATTGTCGATTAATACACACAGTGGCGGATTTACAAATTTGCCGCTAATAGGCTATTAAATTTTTGCCTCCCTTACTGACCTTTGAAATTCAATACGCTAGTTCACAATTATATTTATTCTGAAATTGCAACTTTATGATTTGTGTTCTATCGTCCACATTACGTCGGCTTTTCCCCGTTAGTTTAAAAAATTACTAAATTTAAATTGTAATTAATGTTGAAACGCTAATGGAATATTTTAAAAATTCATGATCGCTTAAGTACATACCTATATTTTACAGTGCGTTTAGTAATCTTTTATATATGGATTACGGACGTAAGAGTGTTGAGTATACTGTGCATTACTAAAATATTAAAAAAAAAATCACTCGTTTTTCTGTGTAGATTTTGGGCCAAATTTGCCGCCCCCTTCAGGCCCCGTTCGCACGAGCGCTTTTTTACCGGGCGTTAAAAAAACGTTTAAATGACACAAATGGAAACACGTGCATTTATTCACATGAAAGCGTTTTTAAAGCGCGGCGCTTTTTTATCGAGCACTGTCGAATTTTCGACGTTGAGCGTTGGACGTTAAATCGAATCGAACATACGGAACTTCGTGTGTCTGTTCCGACGGGCGTTAAAAAAGCGCCGATGCACTCAGGCGGGCAATGTCAGTTGGTCGCGGGCTCGCGTACTGTTTACACGTAATTGATTTGATTGCGCGCCATTATGACGACGTGGGTGCTGGATCCCGAATTGTTAATTTTAGTGGCGTGTGGAATTTTTTCTAGTTATATTTTCTTTAGATTTAAACATCAAGCAGTTACATGCTTTAAAAATAATAAAAAAATTACTCTTACATTTTCATTCCTTTAATGCATGACAATAATAAAAATTTTCATGTTGCTATTTGTTGTATAAAGAAAATTGCGGATATATGTAGTTTGTCAAAGGTCTCGTGAATTTGCTATTTTTTTTAATTTTGAATAATATATTTATAGTATATGGATGGTAGTTCTACTGTTAATTTGACGTTACGAATTGGCAAAATTAGTTGGGTAATTTATTTTCTTTACCGTTATTATAAACATGGCTGTTGGTTTCTTTCAGAAAGTGTATGCGTATGTAATGTAGAAATAAAAGTTGAAACGTTGATTTATTGATTCAAGTGGTCAATTCACTGTCTAACGATTAACGCTGCTAACGTGTCACTAATTTATTCTCTGATAAATGTGTACCAGCCCCTATAGCAGGGTAGGCGAACCAATGGCACGCGTGCCACTGATGGCACGCGACACAATATTTTGGGCACGTCGCCAATCATAAAACATGTGTAAAAAATGATTTAAGTAGGTATTTTATGACGATCGAACGCGAGTGATCCTACGCTACGAAGTAACTGTTTGAAGAAGTTAGCACATGCTATTTTAACAATGTTTTCATCTACCTATGCCTGCGAGTCATTGTTTTCAGAGATGAATAACATTAAAAACTCGTTTAGAAACCGTTTGACAGATGAATCCAGTTCAGCATGCATTTTGCTAAAAGTAGCATCTTACAAACCTAACATAAATTATTTGTTATCAAACCTGCAGCAACAGAAGTCACACTAATTTTACAGTAATCTAATTTATGCGTGTAATAAAAACATTCCAGAATGTGTCTCTTTGGTTTACTTTATTTCATAAAGATTTCTGATAGTATTTATAAAATTTAGTATTGGTTTGTTATAATATTGATAAAAATGCACTCGGACATATTTTTTGTTTTGAAATTACCTTCGATGGATTTTAAATTGTGGATATTTTGTCTCATTTTAATTTTCTCTCTATACAGATTGTTTTAATTACTTTTATACATTGATAGGAACACTGTTTCATATTATACGGGAATGGGCGTTAATTCTGCAACACAGTTTTTGTAAAACTAAAGCAGTTTTAACGATTCATAATTTTATGTACATTGCACTTGTTCCAAATAAAGTTATTATTATTATTATTATTATATTATTATCTTCTAAATAATCATAAAGTCAAAATTATTTGATGGCATGCCAATGACCCAATTAAAGATTTTTTAGAAAAAATGGCACGTTGATTCATAAAGGTTCGCCTACCCTGCCCTATAGCATGACCACCGAAACGGGATAATGATAAAGCGATATATCGGCATTAATTGTCAGACTACAGTGGAGTTTGACACACCTTTTTGTTTCATTATTTTTGTTGGCGACTGCCTGGTGTTGGCCGGTCTCTTTTCTAGAACCTCATTTTTGTGCCACATCATACAGTCCACATCACTCGTAGTTATCATTTGGTCCTTTTTCGCCGCATCATTTATTATTCGGTCATTCGAGCGGAATACATTTTCGCGTAAGTTTCAATATTTTTCAAAAATTTCTAATTTGACAATTTTTGGTTTTCTTTCCGTTTACCCTGTCGTGGCCAATGCGCAAACCGGGCGAGCCATTATAAAAAAAAGAAGTGGTTTTTTGGCGGGATTTCATCGAGTGTGGTTGGCGTCTTATTTTAATTATTCTTAAATTCGTTCATAGTGGATATTGAACTTCTGCTTAACTGAAGAATTAGTAGAATCGTCAAAATATACGCTATTCCGGTCAAGTGGACGTGAGAATTTTATTGTAGTATTGACTACCTCACAGAAGCTTATCGAAAAAGTCAGCTCGATACATTTCGTGCCAAACACTTCAAGAAACATTAGAATGCGTCACACCGACATTCTAATGTAAAAAGAAAAACAGAATAATTGAACTTAAGATTAGGCTGTATGGGCATTGTTCCCCTTGCCTTCCCTTAAAAGGGAGAATTAACCAAAAAAATAAAAAAGAAGTGTCAACGTCAATTGTCAAATCAAACGTGATCGTGTTTTCTTTCATAATTAATAAATAATCAGCAGTTGTTCAATGAAAATGTGTTCCGTAGAACAGAAACAGGTGTTCAAGGATCTCTCTGGTGAAGACCCGGAGCCGCAAGTCACCGAGATTGAATCTTTGTGCATGGAATGTCACGCCAATGTGAGTAAACAGAAAAATATGCCGGCTGCGTGCAGACAGAACATTCCACGAGATGTTTCTGGAATATTTCTTTGAACTATTTAATCGAAATCTGTTTAAAACTGTATTGAATCTACACTTTATTTATCTATTCTTAGGAAACTTCTTTAATTTTAAAGAGTTAACATACATATAATACTTTCTTTTATGTTTCAAAGTTTCTTGTAGTAATCTGCTTTGAATCTGGTAATTTACGATTTTTGTTAAGATCCGACTATTTACGTCATCAAAATAATAGGTATGATCGGCAATTTATGCTAAATCTCAGTATATCATCATCATCAGGCTTATTTTTGGATGGAATAGTGAGATACTATTACCCACCACGCGGGCACAGTGCGGTTTGGTGGGTGCTAACGACTGCAGATGCAGCCAGGACCAACGGCTTAACGTACCTTCCGAAGCAAGGAGAAGCTCATGTAAGTAAATTTTTGGTCACCCATCCAATGATCGACCACTGCAAAAGTTTCTTAACTTCAACGATCCCAACCGAACGCTCTAACCGCTTGCGTCATCGAGGTCCTCTTCGTATATACCAATTACAAAGTTGCTATTAGATATCTAGAAATGAAAAGTATATCTTTTTATCATCAGGGTACAACTCGCCTGCTGCTTACTAAGATCCCATACTACAAGAATGTTGTCATTATGTCCTTTTCCTGCGAGAAGTGCGGCTACGAGAATAATGAAATACAGCCAGGAGGGGCCTACGCAGAGCTGGGAGTTCGGTGAGATATTTGAATAATTTTTACATGGTAACCCTTACACATATTTTAATTTTAATTAATATATTTTTTTGGGGAATCAACAGTTTAGGAAACTCAAAAAAAATGTTTTTTAACCTATTATAAATTTACATGTTATATTATGTCTACCTTACAGCATATTTCAATAACATATAATTTTCAGAGGAACTATGAAAATACTATGCTCTAGTTTTAAAAATAATTTGTTCTCAAATGCTATTGTAAAAGTGAAATGAATGTAATGTTGTCAATCTATTTGATAACATATTATTATAATTCATTGTCAGCTGGAAGTTACATGTTGAGGATCCCTCTGACCTGAATCGACAAGTGGTGAAGAGTGACTACACTGCCATCAAGATACCCGAAGTCGATTTGGAGATACCGGCACAGAGCCAGAAAGGAGGTATGCAGGCTAAAATATAGATTTCTGTTCGACGAGTAGGTTGATTGTAATTTTATGGCAGCAAAATTGTATTTTTAGAAGTCATTCCGCAAAGTTTCATATTGACTTTAGTGCTCATAGATTTGCAGGGGTGTTAGGGGGTAATCACCTCCCTTTACCGACTCTTAAATTGAGGGATAATAATCTATAATTTTCACGATTAAAATACTGTCCCCCCCTTTTTTAGTTCAAGTGATACTTTGCCACGAAAATATTGCTTGAAGGAGATGAAATTGGGCCTGATATTTTCTATGGAAAACTGATTAAACCAAGTAGACCAGCTGTCACTAGCCGATAGCCTAGGAAAATGTTTGATCAGGTAAATGAGTGGACTAAGGACTTCTGTTGCTTTATATTTGGCTGGATTTTTTATATGTAGACGTCCTTGCAAGCAGAAGATGAAAATAAAATCTTGATACTAATAAGAAAGCTGTTGATCTTCTTTTGCCAACAGCATAAGTAGTTTTTTTTAAGCACTTAACTGCTAGATGTTTAAATCTAAAGAAAATTTTACTAGAAAGAATTCCACGCGGACCAGGCAGTAGACAAGACTCGAACCCGCACCTTTCGATATCCGGTCAAATGCACTGACCTTTTCTCCAGTATATCTTAAAGCTGCCAGGCACATTTAATCATCTAGTAGTTAAATGCTTAAAAACAAAATATAACTACTACACAAATCTTTTAATTTTCTCTTACACAGAAGTGACAACTGTCGAAGGTATAGTCTCCCGAGCCATACAAGGCTTAAGTCAAGACCAGGTGGTAAGAAGATTGCAGCATCCTGAAGCTGCTCAGCAAATCGACTCTTTCATCGAACGACTGCAAGCCTTGAAGACAGTGCAGTCACGGTGGACATTGGAGTTGGAAGATATTAGCGGTGAGTGCAACCTTCTCATAAATAATATAAAACAAAGTCGCTTCTGCTGTCTGTATGCTTAGATCTTTTAAATTGCGCAACAGATTTTAATGTATGTTTCAGCAAACTTCATTTTGGTTGATCACCAACGATATTAAATACCCTAGATAAAACATCACGAACAAAATCGTGGCCGAAATCTGTCCAAAAGGTACATGGGACGTTCCACTGAGCTCCGTAAGATGATCGCGTACTCCAAAACAATATAAGGCATTACTTAAACATTGAAAGTCACCTTTAATACATACTGAATAAGGTCTTAATTAAAACGAGTGTGTCAGAGTTATGACAGTTGAAAATGCAAGCTCGTAAAATTTTACGACTTATTGCTTTATGCGGAAGAATATAGACCTTATTTCTTTGACTCTTTGACGCGCAATTCTGAATGCGCTTTTAGCATTATAGCAGGTACGGACCGCGAGGAAAAGAGACCCCTTTTTTACCGACCATGCATTTGAATATCACAAATATTTTCTATTAAATCAGTTTATAGTAAGTATTAGAACAAAATATGCTTCAAATGCGTTAAATTAACAAACGTTGATGAACCTGTCGAAAAAACGACACTTTCCGTACAATTTGTATTTTTTTCGCATTTTTCACGGAGCTCTGCGGCATGTTGAGTTTGCAACGGTCCGCGCTTGACTGTGAACCAAGAAGTGCTTGAGTTGAGTTCAAGCACTTCTTGATTGGGACATATTTTGAGCGCACATGGTGTATCTAGTAGGGTATTTAATATCGTTGTTGATCGCAGATACATGAATGCTAATAAACTCGTTCCCAATTAGTGACACAACTTTATAATAGAATATATTTTATTAACCCTCATTTACACGTTTATAGCTACAAATTCAAAAATCTCCGGGCTAACCAGGACCCTGCCTCAGCATTACCTGATGCGGACATTATGTCGCACCAGCGCTGTTATTCTAGCAGGGCTTGTTTAGTGACACAAAAAAGACAATCATGTAGAAAAGAACATTACTTTAAAGGATGTATGGGCGTAGCATCCTTTGCTTTCAAGTAGCAATAAATTAAAAAAAAATAAGTCAGTAAAAAAAACTGCAAAAAGAGTTTTTGGCAGGATTTCATTGCATGCGGTTCGCATTAGGGATGATCGATATTAGAAAAACATCGATGTTAACATCGAATCAAAAGTATCAATGTACGATAAATGTCGATAGAAAAACATCGATATGTCTAAAACATCGATGTTTTTGGAAACAAATAAAACTTTCTAATTATTTTCACAAAATGTTTTTATTATTAGAAACTGACATTAAATTTAAAAGCCCACTCTTCCTGAGACACGTTGAAATCACAAAAATAATAAGAAAAATTAAAATTCCCAGTATTTTTTAGGGACACTGTAAAAAAATTAACTTTGATAAATCTTTTCCTTTTAGTTTGTTCCGTTGCTGGTACAGAAGCTGACCACTTAATTGAAGCTAGTACACGTTATGCACACTAGACGGCGTCCCAAAGAATAATTGACGTTTCGATACTTTTATTCTAGTAACATCGATGTTTCGATGATATCGAAGTCAACCCATCGATGTTAAAACATCGATGTTTTCCAGTAAAACATCGATGTTTATACAACATCGATGAATATCGATCATCCCTAGTTGGCATCATATTATAATTATTCTTAAATTTGTTCATAGTTGTAAAATAAAATTGGTGTCATTTTGTGTTACGACCGTCTGCGCAACTGAAGAATTAGTGGACTCTTTAAAATATACGCTGTTCCGGTCAAGTGGACGTGAAAACTTTATTGTAGTGTTGACTACCGCACAGAAGCTTATCGATAGATGGCGCTGTTCGCCACAGTAAGATCGTCTCTGTATATTTTTGAGTTTTAAAAATACTAAACCAAGGATTATTGAAGTGAAGTGTGATAAATATGAAGATCCTATGCTAGATCACCAGTACCAGTGTTTTCCTAAATATTTTTTCCCAAATTGTGCTTTAATTATTCAAAACCAAAACTGGATGTTTATATCTCAAAATCTTAGAAATCTTATTATAATAGTTGCTGAAATAACCGAGAAGATTGTGGTATAAACAAATCGCAAGTAAGTGGAAGTGACTGACATCTTTTGTTTACTTTAATGTGCAAAACATTTCTGTGTTAATAAGGAGACAGTTTGTTTAATTCAAAAAATACATTGCTTACAATTTGCCTAGCTTATTGGATTTGAGATAAGGTTGCTTTTGCTTTAATAAGGCTTAGTCGATAAAACAGTTTTGTAAATACAAAAAGTCCACTCTTAACAGCACTAAAGAATTGATTACCATTAGAGTGACCAGATGGCGCTGATCTGTATAAAGTGCAATGAAGCGATTGTTAATAAACAATTTTTGGTGTGCATTTCATGTGAAAAGAAATATCATTTAGATTGCGCTAATGTGTCATTCCAGCGTTTTCGTATAATGACACCAGCTAACAAAAAGGCTTTTAAGTGTGATATTTGCTCTACTGCCTCAAATAGTAATAATAAACAGTACACAGTGAATCTTCTTTTGAAAATGATCACATAACAATACGTAAAAAGAACACACAAATTACTTGTTCACAACAATTATCTCAACAACTCTCTGATGAAGAAGAAACCGATTATTCTTCAATAACTTCAACGCCAAAATATGAATTAAATAGAAGTTTTACAAAATTGATTTCGAATTGTAATAGTGAAATAGAAAAACTTAAACAAAAAGTGCTGAATCTGGAGAAAAATCTACAAATAGCAGAGAGTGAAATAACAAATTTAGCTTCTGAAAATCATATATTAAACAATCGAATTGCGGACTATGAGTCACAGTTTAGACAATTGACACATAATAAATCAACACCGCTAAAAAGATCGGCAAGAAAAAGACTAAGAAATGAAGATTTAAATCATTCTAATATCGCTGTTAGTAATATTGTCGCAAAACAGATTGAGGTATCATCGATAGATGGCGCAAAAATGAACATTCTCAATGGAACCGTATCCGACATCATTGCACCATCATACAAACAGGTACTTAATGTCTCCGTCCAACTACAACAAGAAAGGTCGATAGATGCCGCTGACACAATAACTCAAGATAAAAACAATCATATTTTTATTGTTGGTGATGAACAGCTGCGGGGACTGTCTTTATCATTAACAAAATCGAGGTGCAGAAAATGGAATGATATTTATAAATCTTTTTCTTATATCATGTCTGGAGCAACAAGTTCAGAAATATTACAGAGTTGTGATAGTGACGGTTCAATTTAGAATAATTTGCAAGAAAATGACATTGTTATTATTGGTATTGGTAGTCATGATAGTGATATTTTTAAATTACATTCTAACATTTGTATTTAACTTAACAAATTGCGTAAGGCGACTGTTCTTTTAGTGCCTATTTTAGAGAACCCTTACTTTAACGAAATTACACTAAATTACAATTTAAAACTATGGACTAAGCATTTTATGAATGTAAAATATATTGATATTGCTGTGAATTCATATGATTGTTATAATAATATTAAAAATGTATGTGCTAAAATTAATATATGTATAGATTATATTCAGTATAAAAAACAATTTTTAAACTATGAAAACATAAGAAAATATATAACAAAAAATCACTGTAAAAAAAATAAAACTATCATAACAATACCCAAAAAGGGTACTATACCTTTTTACTTTCAGAAAATTCCGATCACTAATGCCAAGCAGAATCATTTTACTATGTCTAGCTTAAGTACAAGTCAGGATACATCAGGTTTAAATAAAATTGTTAATAGTCCAGAATCTATGAAGTTTTTTCGAACCTAAAACATATGATTCCAAACTTAGAATATTACACCAAAATATACAGAGTTTTTCAAAGAAGAAGGATGTATTTGAAATTGTATTGACAGAACTGCATTGTAAAAACATAGGTCCTGATGTTATATGTTTGAGCGAAACCTTTATACAAGAAGGACGTGAGAGTGATTTTAGACTGCATGGGTATGATCTTGCTGCCTCATACTGTAGAAAAAACAGGCAAAAAAGGGGTGGTGTATGTATCTGTATTAAAAAGGGTCTAAGCTATAGAGTCCTCACAGAAGTGAATAATAAAAGTCAGGATTATTATCTTGAATGCTGTGGCATACACCTTGATAGCTATAACATAAAAATTATTTGCATTTATAGAGTTCCGAAAATGAATAAATATGACCTAGATTTCTTCTTTAAAAAGCTTGAAGACTTGTTTTACACTATTTTAAAAATAAACACTAATAATAAGTACGTCATATTGGGTGATTTTAATATTAATATGATGGATAATAATAAATACACTCTTGATCTTATAAAAAACTTTAATTTAACATTACATGTCAAACAAGCTACTAGATTAAACTCTTGTATAGATTTGATCTTTAGCAATGTCAGTGATGCTTTTGCTGAATTGTTACCCCTTTCTCTGTCAGATCACAATATGGCACAGATGCTGTATATTCCACTGGTTACAAAAAAACTACCGCCGTTAAAATATTTTATCTTTAAACGAGACTACAGTGATGAAAACGTTACCAAATTCTTAAATAGTATTTCAGGCTTATCATTTTCTGATGTTTACAATGAAACCGATGTAGATAAATCTTTTAACAATTTTTATGATTTATTTCTCTTCTTTTATAATTTATGTTTTCCTAAGATAAGGCTATGCATTAATAATAAAATCCGCCGACCGAGGTGGATTACGAAAGGATTGAGCGTAAGCTGTGCAACGAAGAGACGACTTAGATTTAGCTACTATAAAATAAAATCGGATAAGAATAAAACAAAATATAATGCTTATTCTGGTATATTGAGACGTTGCATAAACCTAGCACAAAAAATAAATAATGATAAATACATAAAACACTCTAAAAATCAATGCCGTGCATCTTGGAATGTCATAAAAGGTAACATAAAACATATCAATAATAATTACATTGAAAAAATTTGTGTCAAGGATAAAATAATAACAGATCCTCAGCAGATTGCTGAAGCATTTAATAATAGTTTTATAGATTCGACAAATATTGATAATAGTAGCCATTACAAAAATACAAATAAATTATTTGTGCCAAATAGCATGTATCTGAAACCTTATAGCATAGACGAAATACAGAAACTAGTTATGACATTGAACAATACAAAGTCAGAAGGCTTTGATGGTATATCGACGGATATAATAAAACGTAGTCGTATGGTTCTAGGTGAAGTATTGACCTATTTGGTAAATTTATCATTTGAAAAAGGGACTTTTCCCACCATGCTAAAAATGTCTGTGGTCAAACCATTGCATAAAAAGGGTGACACCAAAACTATAAACAACTACAGGCCTGTCACTTTGGTTTCAGTACTGTCAAAAATATATGAAAAGGCTATGGCTAGACGTATTATTGAATTTATGACGAAATTTAGTCTAATCAGAAAGGAGCAATATGGCTTTCAAAATAATAAATCAACTAGCCTCGCAGGTCATGGTCTTATCAATGATATCATTGAGAATTTAAATGATGGGCGGAAAGTTACTGCCGTCTTTTTTGATATGACAAAGGCTTTTGATTTCGTATCACATAAAATCCTTCTGAATAAATTGGAAAATATCGGTTTTAGAGGACCTGTTATAAATTGGATAGCTAGCTATTTAAAAGAGAGGACACAGTATGTTGAAATAGCTAATATTGACAGAACTCAAACTGTAGTCAAATATAAATCCCAAGAAAGAGTCAATGCGTTTGGCGTTCCGCAGGGGACGATACTTGGACCGATTTTCTTCAATTTTTATATAAATGACCTACCTGATGCCATATCAGATAAATGCGTTCTTTTTGCTGATGACATTTCAGTTCTTGTGACATCTAGCAAGGAAACTAAAAATAATATATATGAATCAAATATTAATAATACAATTCAAGATATTTCTAAATGGACATTATATAATAATTTATATATTAATATAGAAAAAACATGTTACATACAATTTGCTAATTACGGTACTTTGACTAATAACCTCAATTTATATTATAATAAACAACTTGTAAAACAAACAGCCGAAGCAAAATTTTTAGGAATAATACTGGACAACCATGTTAACTGGAAGGCTCATGTCAATACGATTTGTACGAAGATAAATAGTTACATTTACCTTCTCAGTAGACTCAGAAAAACAACATGACACTCTACATTAATCACAGCTTACTATGGTTATATTTATCCTACGCTTGATTATGGCATTCTACTTTGGGGTAACAGTACAGATGCTGATAGGGCATTTATTGCTCAGAAGAAGTGTATTAGAGCCATGCACGGATTAGCACCAGATGAGTCATGTAGACCATACTTTAAAAGGTTACGTATTTTACCATTATATTGTATGTACATTTTGAGTTTGGTTTGCTTTGTCAAATTTAATAGCAATTTATTTACGAAATGTAGTGATATAAATAGAACTCAAAGAACCCTCCGTTACCCTGACAAACTTGCTTATAGTGTTAGACCAAAGACCAGTCTTTATTTGAAAAATTCTACAGCTATGTGCATCAAGGTATATAATGCTTTACCAACAGAGTTTCTAAATCTTCCAAAAACACGTTTTCGAAGGACGATAAAGTCATGGTTGCAGGAACAATGTTTTTACTCTGTAGAGGAATATTTTAATTTTATGTTTAAATCCAGACATAATAAGTGACAAATTAATTAAGATTGTAACTTTTATTCTATGTGATATATATTTATTGTAATGATTTAATAATATTTAATTGCTTGATAATTTGACATGTGTAAATGGAATAAATGATATAAAGTGTTATGATTGTAAATTTGACTAAAATTATAATTTATTTTTAATCAATAATATTATGGATTTCTTAACATGTTTATGTGATGACATATGACGATTAATTGACATGTTTAAATGGAATTAATGTTTTGGAATGTATAACAATAGTGTGACCAATTACAATATTAATATAAAATAATTTGATATTTGCATGCTAATTTAGCGAATCATGTTTGAGCACCATATGTATTGTAACATCTTCTTATTGTACCATGTTTCTTGTAAATAAATATGAATATGAATATGAAAAAGCCGACTCGATACATCCACAGACTTCAAGAAACAGAATGCGTCACACCGACATTCTAATGTAAAAAAAAGGACGATTGATACAAAAATAAGACGATGGCTGCATGGCTTTGCCTTTACAAATGCCTAATAGCATAGAATAGGGTAGAATACAAAAAAAATAACCCTGGACCATATCTTTTATTTTTGCGGTTCATTTCAAGTACAGAGAAATTGACTGCTTCAAGACTTTCGAAGTACTTTTGGCGAAGAAACCATCCCGCGCGACTTGAGAAAAGTTTTACAAAATAAAGACACCTACATTCCTTTATACAAATTTGTAAAAGCTACAATCAAAACACTTTAAGAAAGAAAAGTTAACAGACAGGGCTGTATGGATTCAGAATCCTTTGCCCGTCCCAACAGGGCCAAACTAACCAAAAAAAAAACAGCAAAAAACACAACAGCATAACATTAACACTCTTCATATACCTTTCCCGACCAATATAGCTACACTTCTACATACTAATGACCTATTGGTGTATAAATGTATTATATCTTTTCTTTTGCTCAATAATATAAAACTTTAAATATGTATATATATTTATAAATGAAAATATGTATATATATTTTTTACAATCCTGATCCTTTCCAAATTTCGTAATATTTCCGATTCCTTTTTTCCCATACCGTTTCCCTAATTTTTACTTGACATTGGCTGAACGCACAAACCGTGCATGCCATAAAAAGAAGAAGAAGACCATTAACAGCAAGCAAAGCAATGCGAAACAAAGCGAAGCAATTCGTTTCATTTCAGCCTGAAAATACATTTCAATTCAAAATATACATGAGAGATAATACAACTGCCACACAAACATAGCAGTTATTCATAATAGCAATAAACATAAGTTAAGTACTGTTCTTCAGAAAACTTTTTATTCAGTAAAAGAAACCAGGTACTTAATTCCATTATATGTAATTGAATTTCGGGGTAATGTGGAGGGGGGGCTCCCCCCGACCCCCCAATAGCCATAAAAGTTTTTTGGCGGAAATGTAGTTTTTTTTTTACCTAACCTAAAAATTCATTATTTTTCGTAGAAAAAGTCTCTATTAACGAATTTTTCTTTCTGGCGCTTCGCCGCCCGCTGCCGCGGCACGCTCGCTTCGCTCGCTCGGCTCGCGCGTTATGGTTACAACACTAACCTAACCTAACCTAGTTTGAAGTATCACCACACAAGCGGCTCATTAGAGTCCAAAACTCGCACTACACTCGACTCTTCAGGCGAAGGGACAGCAGAACTCGAGGCCGAAGGCTTTTAGGATGCCATGGTAGTCAGACGATGTTAATATCAACAGGAGTACGAAGAAGCTCTCAACTGCGACGAACACAAACACCGACTGACAGATCTCATTAATGGCGGTAAATTGTCACATTTTGACAATAGTACCAACATAATAAACTTATATTTACCATAGACAACGAGAAACATTTTATTTTTGCATAAAAAATGGCAGCACTGATCAAAATTGCTGTCAAAATTGACTCATAACCTACAAAAATATTAATTTTCAATAATTTTTTTTCTCGAGTTTCCGCCTAAAAAGATTTCGTGTACGTGTTTTTAATAGTTAATACTTGGCGTGACAAAAATTTCAGCTTGCAACTCAATTACATATAATGGAAAGCTGAGCTCCAAGGTAGGTATTACTTACAAAGTTACGCTATAGTAGGGATGACGACTATTATTTTTTCTTCGCTTATCAGGTAGATTAACATAAAGTATTGGACACGTATTTTTTTCTTTTTTCACTAAATATAAACATTGCAGAGATATATTGATTTGAAAACTTGCATGACGTCACGTTTTGGTACAATTTTCACAAGCCCCTACTCTCAAACTTTGACGCGCTCTAACTTTGTCATTTTTTGGTTGACTGCCCAAAGAAAAAATGCGTGTCCATTATTTTTTGATGATTTAACTGACGGACTAAATAGAATTTCGTTTACTGTACCCCGTTATAACCCTAGTTGCTTTTTGAGATGTTTTCTAAAAGTGATAATATGTTATAAGAAATAATCAAATGGTACAGGGACAGTAGACGGGATTCGAACCCGCACATTCGACATTGTGTGTTACCTACAATGCGAAGAGATGGCGCTGCCTTGCAGCTCAAGAAAGGCTAGAGAAAATTCGACACGACCATCAGGGCCGCGGTAGATTAATGGTCAGTGCATTCGTCCGGATAGCGGAGGGTGCCTAGATGTGTGAAATGTTTTCTAGTAAAAAAAATCTTTAAAATATAGTATGCTTTAAATATTTAACAGCTTGATCTCGTTGGTGGTTAGCGCGTTCGGCTGCGATCGTTGAAGTTAAGCAACTTTCGCAGTGGTCGGTCATTGGATGGGTGACCAAAAATTTACTATCTCTCACTCCTCCGTGCTTCGGAAGGCACGGCCGTTGGTCCCGGCTGCATCTGCAGTTGTTAGCACCCACTAATCCGTACGGGGCCCGCGTGGTGGGTCACGGGCTATTCTATCCATAGGTTCAGGCCTGTGCCCCAGCAGTGAGGACATTAATAGGCTGATGATGATGATAGTATGCTAACATTATGTTTTTCTTGTCACCAGGTAATTGCTTCGTAGAGAATCCAGATGCACCCCGTAAAGATGCCCGTTGTGACCGGACCGACTTCAGACGGACGAAGGATCAAGACCATGCACTTGGCATATTCTCACATGAAGAGGTGAGTTACAATTACAACTTATATTCCATCATCATCAGCCTATTAATGTCCTCACTGCTGGGGCACAGGCATTCCCCATTGAGATTGGGCCATGACCCACCACGCGGGCCCAGTGCGGATTGGCGGGTGCTAACGACTGCAGATGCAGCCGGGACCGACGGCTTAACGTGCCTTGCGAAGTACGGAGGAGTGACAGATAGAAGATTTTTGGTCACCCATCTAGTGACCGACCACTGCAAAAGTTGCTTAACTTCAACGATGGCAGCTGAAAGCGCTAACCCATTTTAACGCAATAAAATATATATATATTTTTTGAAATAGGTTCAGTAATTTTTCCTCCATAAACATTATTATAGATCCTGATGGAACGCTTTCGAAAAATAATGTTTATTTTTCTATTATTGAATAAAAGTCTAGGAAATTAAGCCAAAAAATGGTAAATCCTCGCAAAATTTTTCGTGAAAACTATACCTTATTGTCAAAAATTATAAAATAACATTAAAAACCTAAATATGGGTAAAAATAGTTAAATAATGATTGTTTCATGCTTTAGGATACAATTTCATAATCTTTCAACCTACCCTTGTCAAAAACTAGCTCCGAAGCGGGTAATTCGAATTTTTCGAAAAAAAAAAACGGTTTTTTAAGCATAGCTCCTACATTTTAGGTGATAGAAATTTTGTTTCAGAAACAATTTTATAGGGCTTTTCAGGATATTAGGTAGGGCCCTGTTTATTTCACTCGACCACAGCTGGCTGAAATTAACAGGGAGGAGTCCCACATGCCTTCTTCTCGCTCCCCCAGTGGTTGAAGGATGCGTAAAGCATTTCCCAGACACAAAAAAAAGGGCTTTTCAGGAGCTATAAGACTATGTGAATTAAATTACTTAAGATCCCTTAATTTTTAAATGCGGAGAGTTAAAAGCGCTTGAATAAGGTGATGTTCGCTCGTAAATGTAGGTGTTCATCATCAGCCTATTAATGTCCCCACTGCTGGGGCACAGGCCTTCCCTGTGGATGGAATAGGGAGATTGGGCCATGACCCACCACGCGGGCCCAGTGCGGATTGGTGGGTGCTAACGACTACAGATGCAGCCGGGACCAATGGCTTAACGTGCCTTCCGAAGCACGGAGGGGCTCGAGATAGTAAATGTTTGGTCACCCATCCAATGACCGACCACTGCGAAAGTTGCTTAACTTCAACGATCGCAGCCGAACGCGCTAACCACTTGCGCCATCGAGCTCCTCCAGTAAATGTAGGTGTATATATCTCGCCGAATATTTACTGTACAAAATATCTGCACACAGGGAAATTTTTCTCATTAAAAAAGCTACAATTTAGTTACTGTTTGGTAAAACTTTAAATGCTTCTACTGAAAAAATAGCTTTTTTGGCTAGTGTCACTCTTCTTATCAATGTGCGATATGTATTTCTATATAAATATACTTATATATATAGAGGAGCTCGATGGCGCAAGTGGTTAGCGCGTTCGGCTGCGATCGTTGAATTTAAGCAACTTTCGCAGTGGTCGGTCATTGGATGGGTGACCAAAAATTACTATCTCTCACTCCTCCGTGCTTCGGAAGGCACGTTCAGCCGTTGGTCCCGGCTGCATTTGCAGTCGTTAGCACCCACCAATCCGCACTGGGCCCGCGTGGTGGGTCATGGCCCAATCTCTCTATTCCATCCATAGGGAAGGCCTGTGCCCCAGCAGTGGGGACATTAATAGGCTGATAATGAAAAATGAATAATGATACTTATATATGTACAGTATATGTATTCTATCCGTTACCCTAGTATCCCATGACACAAGCCTTACTTTGGGGCTAGGCTAGAGAGTGTTGGAAATATTTATATTTATTTATATAATATGTGTATCAAACTAAATTAGGTATGGATTTCTAAATAATGAAGGTCCGACACTTCACCAATAGTTTTGTGCTGCTCCCAGTCTAGCATTGGAATGTTTCAATATAATTCAATATCCGCATACTTACACGTATAGAACAATATTTCTCAGTAAGCGATATAGAAGTTGTTTATGTTAGTGAAATTCTAAGTAACACTTTAAACATGATCGCGACATCCTACATACTCAGTGTACAGCGCTTAAGCATTTTTCAGTATAGGCATGGCGTCGTTCTTTTCCCATTGTAGCGCTTTCAGCGCTAGATTTAGCGAATTTTTATATTTTGTTGTACAGCACAATTTTGTACCTACCTAGCGACCCGCCCTCGCTTCGCTTCGGTGTAGAGCTGAAGTGTAGACTACAGTTTTTGTTCAATGACATTCATCTATGCTTCTTATTATAGCTGCATGCAAAGTCTCAGCCCGATCGGTTTAAAATTGACAAAGTTTCATACAATCTTTCATTCCCTATTTTATCTCCGGGGGGGTAGAATTGATCAAAACCCTTTCTTAGCGGATGCCTACGTCATAACATCTACCTGCATGCCATATTTCAGCCCGATCCGTCCAGTGGTTTGGGCTGTGCGTTGATAGATCACTATGTCAGTCAGTGACCTATGAGTTTTATATATATAGATAGACTTAGTTTCTTGTTCTCGAATAGGGGAATGCGAAACACACATTCTTCTGGAAACACACAATTTTCTAGTTGCCGCGTGCTCGTTTCTCTGGACATTATGGCGTTACCCATAGAGGCATAAGAATAGTGGGGATGACGACTCTAAAAGTTTCCGTCTACTAGAAAGAGAAAGAAGATGAGAGACCGCTAGCTATCTCTTTCTCTTGTGGCGCATGGCATCCAATGGCATCACATCGAAATAGTACGATGCTTACGGTCGCCAATGCGAATGCGCGATCAGAGAGAGAAAGCTAGCGGTCTCATCTTCTTTCTCTTTCTATTAGAGGGACACTTCCACTTGTAGTTGAGTCTATATCTCCCCCTTTTTTTTTATTGTGGGGAAAATGCGTTATGCATACCCCGCCCCGGGTGAGTGGCGGGGTTATGTGGGACTCCTCCTCCCCCCAAATGGGGGGCCCTACCCACTAAAAACCCAACAGTGCTCCCTCGTCTGCCGAAACGGGTTTTGTGGGATCCGGATGACGCTCCACGTTACCCCGGCAGTAATTCCTCCTCCTCCTGGTGGTCAGGGGGATGCCCGGGAGCACCTAGGCACGGTAATATTATCTATACAGTATTGTGACTCCGCCCTGTCCTTGAAAATAAATGCCTACACCGAGCGCTGCGTTGGCACGCGGTAGGGCCGCCAACCTACAGTATTTTATGTAGTTTTGTTTTTAACGCGAGTGTAGGTAGATTACTCGTTTGTCTCTTTTTTCATCCTTACCACTTATTTATATATTATTCCAGATATTTTGCCCGATGGAAAAACCGAAATACCTAAATATTAGAAACAAATAACGTACTAGTAGATAGGTATATAAAAAATATTCTATAAAGTTAAGACACCTTTCCAATATTTCAGGTAATTTAAAAAATGATATCTCTGGGTGTGTTATTGAAGAGTTCAAGCAACCAAAAACAGCAATTGTGTTGTTGTACGATCGTCGTTTGTTCTTTTCCAAACTAAATTATGTAGGTATCTACCTAATTAAATCAAATATTTACAATACAAAACGCACGTTTAAGCACGGCTAACTGCATAAAAAACATTCAGACCGTTCGGTCGTCGTTGCGGCGCGGCGGCGCATTCGCGACTGGGTGCACGCCGAGAGCCCATCGAACTCGAGTGGCGTAGGTATGACTCGCTTTCCGACCGTTTGTATGAAGATAGAATACTGTATGATATTATTACCGTGACCTAGGCATCCCCCCTCGACGGGTGAGACTGTGCAATGTGAGCGACGGACCACCCTGTCCGCAGCCCGCAGTCCCACTAGGGTGGACAGAGGGTCTATATCTCCCCTACTCTATTCTTATACATCTACTAGCAGACTCGGCGAACTTCGTACCGCCCAAAAGTAATAATTTGCAATAAATTAAAATTGCGACTATAATTTGAGATTTAAACTATCCTATCTCTCAAGTTGGATCGAACTGCACATGGTGTGCGAATTTTATTATAATCGGTTCAGTGGTTTAGGAGTCCATTGAGGACAAACATTGTGACACGAGATTTATATATATTAAGAAGATGGTCTCACCAGTGTGTGACTTCAGAGGACTTTGTCATTTAACGTCAAATGATACAATGTAATGTCACTTTGGCTGGAAATTTACCAGCGTGCGACTTTATTTTGGTCATGGTAAAGCCGGGGACGTTTTCAAACCCGTGTCCATGGAGCAAAAAATCCTATTTATTTAATGATTTTATAGAAAGTTAGTTAATATTTAAAGAAAAATTTACTAGAAATAATTATGCTACCGCAGCCCTGATGACCGTGTCTAATCTTCTCTAGCCATCTTAAGCTGTGAGGCAGCGCCATCTCTTCGTATTGTATTTAATTATTTGAAATTTTTATATTTTATTATTATTATTGTGATTGTAACTATTTAATTTGATTATCATTTTTTTTCTTCTATTTCTGTATGTAATATGGGTACTACGCCTGAAATAAATGGTTATATTATTGTAGGTTACCCACAATGCCTGGTCCGCGTGGAATTTTTTCTAGTGAAAATTTCTTTAGATTTAAACATCTAGCAATTAAATGGTTAAAAATAAAATGTAAATCATTATTTTTTTTGTCTATATATATAAAACTCAAAGGTGACTGACTGACATAGTGATCTATCAACGCACAGCCCAAACCACTGGACGGATCGGGCTGAAATTTGGCATACAGGTAGATGTTATGACGTAGGCATCCGCTAAGAAAGGATTTTGATCAATTCTACCCCCAAGGGGATAAAATAGGGAATGAAAGTTTGTATGAAACTTTGTCAATTTTAAACCGATCGGGCTGAGACTTTGCATGCAGGTATAAGAAGAATCATAGATGAATGTCATTGTGTATAATACAAGCCTGAGAACAAAAACTGTAGTCTACACTTCAACGCTACACCGAAGCGAAGCGAGGGCGGGCCGTTAGTTCTTTCATAAAATAGGAAAATCGTTGCTAATATTCATCTTAAACACAGATGTCAACAATTGCTACATCATTTTTCACGCTGCCAAATACTATTATAATTAAAAACCGAAAAAATCTAGCGCTTTTTACGCCTAAAGGAACAAAATTGTATCAAGTTGCGCAGCGGAATCGCTTTCGTTGTATCAGCTTTTTCACTCAGCACTCAGCAGTCATACATACCACGATCTCAGCTTCGAATAGTCGTGAACAATAAATCTCAAAGTGCAGATAATTTAACCTAAAAAAAATGTGTTTATAATATTTGCTACGTTAGCATCTTAGAGCATTTGTGTAGCTAGGAGAATATGGAATTGCTATACTTCCAAAATACTGCAAAATGGCCAGGTTATATGAAATTTCTGTACGAGAATGGCTGACGACGTGTCAATTTTGATTTTGACTCGAGTCGTGGCTAATTGACAGGTAATTTTTTTTATTGTTATTTATGTTATTTTTAAGGGGCCGTTCATAAAACGTCACGCTAAAATCAGCTTTTTCCGACCCCCTCCCCCCCTATTGTCACGCTGTGTCACACTTTCTGTCACCCCTCTTGAAATATTCCGTCACAAAAACGGAGACAAAAGTATGATTAATTTCAATTGATAGTACACAAATTTTAAGAATTTAAATATTTATTTTGTTTTTATAATAAAATTTAAATATATAAATAAATATCTTTTCATAACAAATAAATAAATCATATTTCTATATATGTTTACTAAATACGAAACAAATGATTTTCTATCTTGATGAAAATTGAGAAAGAAAAATAGTTGAAAGAAATACTAATTTAATTTTTTTTAGTGAACGACGAACGTCACGTTGCCGTAGACCCCCCCGTCCCCCCTTGTCACATCTTGTCACACTTAGCAAGACCCCCCCCCCCCTGTATGCGAACGTATTTTATGAACGGCCCCTAATGGACACAGGGGATTGCATCAGGGTGGGTTACGGTGCGTGTAATGTCTTTAGGCTATGAAGGCCGCTCTTTTTTTTTGTTTGTATTATCCGTCAGTAAATCTAATATGTAAAATTCTCGTGTCACGGTGTGCGTAATAGGCATGATGACTAATTTTTTTTTCTTCGTTTATCAGGTAGATTATCAAAAAGTATTGGACACGTATTTTTTCTTTTTTCACATAATATGAACATTGCAGAGATATAGTGATTTGAAAAGTCGCATGACGTCACGTTTTGGTATAATTTTCACTTAAAAGTGACGTCACGAGCCCCTACTCTCAAACTTTGACGCGCTATAACTTTGTAATTATTTGGTTGATTGCCCAAAGAAAAAATACGTGTCCATTATTTTTTTAACATCTAACTGACGGACTAAATAGAATTTCGTTTATATTACTTTACCCCGTCATCATGACTATTGAACTACTCCGAAACGGCTCGACCGATTTTCGTGAAACTTTATATGCATATTCAGTAAGTCTGAGAATCGGGCAACATTTTTTTTTCATCCCCCTAAATGTTAAGGGATTAGATTTTTTTTTGGGCTAATTTTTGTATTTTTATTTTTTTATGATACATCATACAAAAATACTTTTGTATGATGTATCATACAAAAATGTATAGAAGGGTGAAATCTTAGTGTTGTATATACAACCAACCCCTATTTTTTTATGGCGGTACGAAGTTCGATGGGACATCTAGTTTTATTATAATAATATTGTTTAATTAAGTATTGTACAGTTAAAATGAAAATAATATGAAAATTTTGCTAGAATTAACTCCTGAGTGGAACTTTAATGACATGCCCTGGTATGCTTTCATCATCATCATCATCATCAGCGGCTGCATCTGCAGTCGTTAGCACCCGCCAATCCGCACTGGGCCCGCGTGGTGGGTCATGGCCCAATCTCCCTATTCCATCCATAGGGAAAGCCTGTGCCCCAGCAGTAGGGACATTAATAGGCTGATGATTATGATGATGATGGTATTAGTTAGTTACTCAATCGTTCAAAAACGGCTGAACGGATTTGCATGAAACTTAGCACACATATACTCTATTACCTGGATTGAGACATGGGACACTTTTCATCCCTAAAAAAGGTTTTCTAAAAACTTAAAGTTATCGCGGGCGGTTGCTTGTTAATTATATAAGCGGCTGTCTTCTCATCTACATTTAGCATTTTCACTTCGGAAAAAAAACATCCAGCAGTTGAAATGCTTACAGTATATTTTTTTTTTTTAATACTTTGGGGCTAAGCTAATTGGTGTGTGTTGGAACCAATTAGTTTAGCCCCAAAGTAAGCACTGTAAGGCTTGTGTTATGGGATACTAGGGTAACGGATAGAATACATTACTGATACATATATAAGCATATTTAATATACTTAAATATATACAGTACTAGTGGCCCGCCCTCGCTTCGCTTCGGTGTTGAGCTGTAGTTTAGACTATATTTTTGTTCTCAAGCTTCTATCAAACACAATGACTTTCTTTAAATACCCCCGGCCAGTACCGCCCAAACCGGTATGTTCCTGTATTTTAAATCTGTAATATCTTCGAAAATATTCATTTAAATTACATGCTGTAAAGGGCCATATTGATCTATATTACACGCACAATGTATTTAAGCTACTTAATTGGATAAGGATTAATGCTGTATTGCTTAAAATCGCTTGTTCGTAAATAAGCCATTATTTTCTCGTAATAAGTAATTAAAAAATGGTTATTGTGGGTTATACCAAAGAGATAGGCATATACCATCGCGGACTCTTTTTTAGACCTTTTTAAGGTGTACAATACTGTAGTACATTATTTTGATCTATCTCGTTGGGTTCAGCCAGCCTTTGCAATGTAAGCGCAAAAAAATGTGTTTATTTACGACCTTACATTAAAAACCTCTAAAATTATCGGTGTTACTCTGCTATATTATGCATGTATTATACATATAAACCTTCCTCTTGATTCACTCTATCTATTCAAAGAAACCGCATCAAAATCCGTTGTGTAGTTTCAAAGATCTAAGCATACAAAGGGACATAGGGACAGAGAAAGCGACTTTGTTTTATACTATGTAGTGATATAACAATACATTGAGTTACGAAGAAATACAGTTAGAAATCCGAGTCTTGTTATCGCAAGCCACAACATCCGCTGTTACATCGAATGAGAATATTCCGATTACATGTGAACGTATGCATTGTTTATACCACAGTGAATGACGCTTTAAACTGAGTATCTAGAATGAGAGTATTAAACAATGACATCATTCGAGTATTCCGACGACCTCCGTGGCCGAGTGTTTGTATGCCGGGTTTCATGGTGTCGCCGACTCGAGAGGTCCCGGGTTCGAATCCCGGTGGGGGCAGATGTTTGTGTGATGAATACGTGCATTTGTACTCCAGTCATGGATGTTTAATATGTATTTCGTATTCATCACACGAACATGTGAGCCCCAACCGGGATTCGAACCCGGGACCTCTCGAGTCGGCGACACCATGAAACCCGGCGTACAAACCACTCGGCCACGGAAGTCGTCAAATGACCCCGTATGGTGATTTAACAGGAACTAGGGGGACTTTGTATTTGATCTGAGGGAGGGTCCTATCGATCGCGGGGCCCTTGGGAAAGTGGGTCTGCTTGCCCCAGCAGTGGGGACATTAATAGGCTGATGATCATAGGCTACCCATCAGTCGTAAATGTTCCTCTTTCCATTATCTCAGGTGACCGATACCCCATCCCCCAAGCTGCCTCTAACCTCGGACGCCCTGCTGGCTCCTGCAGATCCTTCTATAGCGTCATACGACCAACTGTCCAAAGACGAAGTGTTGAGGTTTACAACCAACTGTCCCGATTGCAATGCAGTCGCTGACACCAACATGAAGCTGACGAGTAAGTTATAATAATGAGGATAATAATTTCCAACACTCACACCAATGAGGGCTATCGCGTATGAATCCGCCGCTAGAGGCGCTAGTGTAGCGTGAGGTCTCCGAAATGTCAAATGTTATTGCTTGTTGGTTGACTACGCGAGTTTATTTCTAATTAAAATAATGTTGTGAATAATTGGTAACAATTCGGCTTAATTATGGCAAATATGAGTTATGTGGCAATGAATGTCAGTTATTAAAAATTTGAGCTTAGAAAAATGATTATGTTCCCATTTTTTCCGAATAAAACGGAACTGCGCGTCACTGTGGCATGGCCTATTATGTTTAGGATATGGTTCTTTTGTGTTAAAATACGATCTAAATGTAACCTTTGATATCATGTGCGTATTAATAAACTTTAAAAGTTACAATTTAGGACCTCACTCAACAGTGGCGCCATCTGATGAGGCAGAAAACGGTAGCCCTCATTAGCCCAGCCCCAAAGTAAGCACTGTAGGCTTGTGTTATAGGATACTAGGGTAACGGATAGAATACATATACTGTTTCACATATAAGTAAATTTATATAGAAATAGAGGAGCTCGATGGCGCAAGTGGTTAGCGCGTTCGACTGCGATCGTTGAAGTTAAGCAACTTACGCAGTGGTCGGTCATTGGATGGGTGACCAAAAATTTACTATCTCGAGCTCTTCCGTGCTTAGGAAGGCACGTTAAGCCGTTGGTCCCGGCTGCATCTGCAGTCGTTAGCACCCACTAATCCGCACTGCGTGGAGGGTCATGGCCACATCTCCTTATTCCATCCAAGGGGACGGCCTGTGCCCCAGCAGTGGGGTCGGGACATTATTGAGACATTATGACTGGAGTACAAATGCTAGTATTCATGACAAAAATCTTCAAAAAAAATTGTGTGTGTCAGCTCCGACGCACGACTGGAGTTTACTTCTTAAGTTCGATAGTCTAACCAGACGCAAAAAGAGTTTATTATTTAACTTAAAAAAGATTGATACTGTATGAAAGGGTAAATTAACAAATTAATGAAAATAATATACATATATAAATATATATTTATTCATTTCATATACATTTATTATAACTAATCGACGAAATATTTTACATTAAACTTTTTACAATAGTCAATTTCAGATGTGCATAAATATATCATTAGGAATGTTGATAAATTATGTAATTATTATTATCATTTTCTTAAATACGTATTAATTAAATCAACATTGTCTGCATTATTAATTACATTGACAAGTATTTTATGGTAACTAAATTAAGACACATGGACGTTTAATGTCAATCCGTCATCTTTGTTTGTCAAAGTTGCGCGACATAGGATGCGCACCAAAAACGTAACGAGGTCATTCATCGATAGATTTTACTCCTCACATTTTTCTCATACCGGGCCCCTTATATATGCAAATCGATTCTTAAGGAGTAAACTCCAAAAATTTAGTTGCTTAAGCGCCAAAATGTATTCAAATCTTCATCAAACATAAACAGATTGAGGCAGAATAAAAGTCTGATTTAAATCTTTATATATATAATTCTTCTGTGAGTGTGTATGTCACTGAACTTCTCTTAAACGACTGGACCGATTTTGATGAAATTTTTTGTGTGTGTTCAAGGGGATCTGAGAATGGTTTAGATTCACAATTTTGTCCGCTGGACAACCCCTATTTTTTTAGGGCGGTACGAAGTTCGCTGGGTCAGCTAGTATATGTATAACTCTTTTACGACCAAAGTGGCGTATAAGCGATTTTGCCTTTCCACTTTGTTATGTAATGGTTTTATTATCGCTTGTTGCAGACATACCACATTTCAAGGAAGTTGTGATAATGGCCACAGTTTGTGACGCGTGCGGACACAGAACTAATGAGGTATGTTTTTTTGAATTATCAATTAGCTCATCTTTTTTTGGGGTTCCGTACTTATAAAGAAATATATTTTTAAAGCATGTAACGTGTAATTTTGGGTTACCTATAATGCGAAGAGATGGCGCTGTCTTGCAGCTTAAGAATGCCTAGAGGAATTTCGTCGCGGTCCGTCAGGGCCACGGTAGGATAATTGGTCAGTACATTCGCCCGGATTGCGAAGGGTGCGGGTTCGAGTCCCGTCTGTTGCCTGGTTCGCGTGGATTTTTTTCTAGTTATATTTTCTTTATATAGAAAGAATCTAATGAAAATATTAGTAGAAAAAAATCCACGCGGACTAAACAGCAGACGGGACTCGAACCCGCACCCATCGCTATCCGGGCGAATGCATTGACCATTATGTTACCTCGGCCCTGATGCCCGTGTCGAATTTTTTCCAGTTTTTCTTATGCTGCAAGGCAGCGCCATCTCTTCGCATTGTAGGTAACCCGCTGTCCGGTCCGCGTGGAATTTTCTCTAGTATTATTTTCTTTAGATTTAAACATCGAGCAGTTGCATGCTTAAAATTATAAATTTCAACTATATAGAAAGAATCTTTATAAGGACACTTCGTTATCCTTTTGAGAGTCTATGAAGACGATTTTTCCTCGGAAATACGTGGTCTTTTGTAAGTCTATGAACGCGGGCCCAGTGCGGATTGGTGGGTGCTAACGCAGACCCAGGACCAATGGCTTAGCGTGCCTTCCGAAGCACGGAGGAGTGAGAGATAGTAAATTTTTGGTCACCCATCCAAAGACCGACCACTGCGAAAGTTGCTTAACTTCAACGATCGCAGCCGAACGCGCTAATCGCTTGCGCCACTGAGCTCCTCACTATTGGAGACTTTTATTTATTAATTAAAAAAATATTTTTACTTAAATGTTGCAACATCAAGATAATAAGAAAATGTTGTCCTAAAAACAGTATAAAATGTACAGCCCTTGGGTTTGTCTTATTATTTCCCCAAGTGAACTTATTTACTGGGTTGCCAGGTATAAACAGAAAAAATACGATGTCGATGCCAGTTACGTTACTCAACGACTGCACATTCTATATGTTTTTTTTTATCAAGGCAACATTTTCTTATTATCTTGATGTAGCAACATATTTTAATAAAAATATTTTTTTTGTAAATTATTAAAAAACTAGCGGCCCGCCCTCGCTGCGCTTTGGTGTAAAGCTGAAGTGTAGACTACAGACAATGACATTCATCTATGATTCTTGTTATACCTGCATGCAAAGTCTCAATCCGATCGGTTTAAAATTGACAAAGTTTCATACAAACTTTCATTCCCTATTTTATCCCCTTGGGGGTAGAATTGATCAAAATCCTTTCTTAGCGGATGGCTACGTCATAACATCTACCTGCATGCCAAATTTCAGCCCGATCCGTCCAGTGGTTTGGGCTGTGCGTTGATAGATCACTATGTCAGTCAGTCACCTTTGAGTTTTATATATATATATATATATATATATATATAGACAGTCTGTCCAGGATTTTTAAGGCCAACCCATTTTTAAAATATTTTTCAATGTAGTATATTAAAAATGAGTTGCCTTTGAAAATCCTGGACAGACTATTTTTTAATAAGTCATGATAAAATATGTTTCATTCTAATATCAGCTCGGTGAGGTTTAATGTGGGTTCGGATCTTCTACGATCTTGTAGTTAGGTTACCTACTGTCTGTCTATTATAAATTTATAGATATGTGTCTACAATTTTAAATCGACAATGATGTCGATTCTGGCATGATTCTCTAAACCTAAACTTAAATTTGACAACAGTGCATCCTTTTCATTCTCTATACAGAATGAAAAGGAGAGACTGATGTTAAATTTAGTTTTAAGTTTAGAGTATGACGCCAGAATCGACACCATTATGTCTATAATAAACAACAACGCACGCACAATATCAATAAAAAGGGCTTGCTGAGAATTTGATTAAAAAAGGATATGCCGTCATTCACGACGACATCCGTGGCCGAGTGGTTTGTACGCCGAGTTTCATGGTGTCGCCGACTCGTGAGGTCCCGGGTTCGAATCCCGGTGGGGGCAGATGTTTGTGTGATGAATACTAGTATTTGTACTCCAGTCATGGATGGTTAATATGTATTCTATCCGTTACCGTAGTATCCCATAACACAAGCCTTACAGCGCTTATTTTTTTTTTTCAATTAATTTGTTATTAGTAAAATGTTTTTGATTGTAAGTTGACTTTTTTACCTTCAGGTGAAATCCGGTGGAGGGGTTGAAGACAAAGGTGTAAGGTTCGAGGTCCGGGTGGCTGGAAAAGAGGATTTCTCTAGGGACATACTGAAGGTAAATATTATTATAATGTTGTTTATATATTCATTTTATATAGTATACAGAAATACTCCACTCCCTCGCACATCGATTCCCATTATCACCCACCATTAGTCTATTACCCACCCATCAATCCCCCATTATCACCCACCATTAGTCTATTATCCACCCATCAATCCCCTATTATCACCCATCATTTCCTACTGTCACCCACCGATCCCTTTTTGTCACCCATCAATCCCCTTATCACCCTCAAATAGCTTACATCCTCCAATCCCTTTTTTTACCCTCGAATACCCTTTTCAACATCGAATACCCTTTTCAACATCGAATACCCTTTTCAACATCGAATATCCTTTTCATTCTCGAATATCCTTTTCATTCTCGAATATCCTTTTCATTCTCGAATATCCTTTTCATTCTCGAATATCCTTTTCATTCTCGAATATCCTTTTCATTCTCGAATATCCTTTTCATTCTCGAATACCCTTTTCACCCTCCAATTCCGTATTTTATATTCTCGAAAGTTGGGCCTGTCCCACTATCAGTCAACTAACATTTATCGGATCACTGGGGCTCTGCAGTATTTCTTAATTTCAACTGGTTCCTATATTAACCATTAAATTTGTACTTCAATCTAAAATATTTTTTTTCTTTAACTCCGCCATCCAGTCGGAGACTTGCAGTATGGAAATACCAGAATTGGAGCTGGAAGTGGGGGGCAGGGCCCTGGGGGGGAGGTTTACCACCGCGGAGGGGCTGCTGCGGGCCACCGCCACGCAACTCGGTGAAAACCCGGGGGTCATAGGCGATGCCCCATCTATGGCGCAACACTCGCTCGAACAGTGAGTCATTCATATCATTCATATTTAATGCATTTTTTTAGAAAAAAAAAGGTCTTGACGTACAGACGGACGGACAAACCGACAAAGTGATTCTATAAGGGTTCCGTTTTTTTTTCTTCAAAGTAATATTTTTTTTTTCCTCAAAAGGAAAATCTTTGATTCTGCCGTTTTTTTGAGTCTAATGGCTTATTTTGATTTTTGATTTTGAACTACATTTGTTTATCTATGTGTATGTATGTATTTATTTAATATATATTTATATTTATCTAATATATAAAATTCGCATGTCGCGGTGTTTGTGGTTAAACTCCTCCGAAACGGCTTTCCCGATTCTCATGAAATTTTGTGTGCATATTGGGTAGGTCTGAGAATCGGATAACATCTATTTTTCAATCCCCTAAATGTAAAGGGTATCCACCCCTAATTTTTTTTTTCAATTTTAGATATTTTATTTTAATTTTTGAAGTTATACTTCTTTAGGCGCGTTATGAAAAAATGATGAGAGTGAAATTTTAGGATGCGCGCGCATCACTGTAACACAAAAAATTAACAGCATGAAGTTGGTCGCTTTAGCGACATTCATGCTGTTACTTTTGTGTTTACCGCACATTAAGAAAATCTACCAACAAAATAGAAATAGAATCTCTATTGAGTGGGTGCTAACGACTGCATTGTGAAGGCCTATCAAAAGTATTTATTAATCTGGAACAACGGAACCAAAGCGCGATTCAGGAGACTACAGCGCCATCTCTTGACCATTGGTGTAGTAGAACCAAAAACCACATCTTTATTTTTTGTAATAAAGTAACAGTTATAGGAATTCATATTTATAATATCAAAAGTATTTATTAATCTGGAACAACGGAACCAAAGCGCGATTCAGGAGACTACAGCGCCATCTCTTGACCATTGGTGTAGTAGAACCAAAAACCACATCTCTATTTTTTGTAATAAAGTAACAGTTATAGGTATTCATATTTATAATATTTATCCACATGTTTCTAGTTTGTATATTCGGAATACGTGTTTGAGTTTCATACAAGTGCAAATCACATATGTTCTAATAAATTATATTCAGTAGCGATTTTAATTGAATATTTTGATTATTTATTTATTTTTTCAAATTAAAACTGAACTTTATTGACTGTGTCCTTTTCCAGACTTTTTATTAATTTATTGTAATTAATTATTTGCATGCAATTAAAAACTAATTTTAAACGATGCCAAAGAAGGATAACTTCTCACGCGCCTACATAAGTACGCACCCATTTTTTTTATGATACATCATACAAAAATACATACAACCCTAAATTTTCACCCTTCTACCATGAACCCCTATTTTTATGGCGGTACGAAGTTCGCTGGGACAGCTAGTATATTTATATTTATGTATGTATATAATTGTATATATTATCACCTATATCGCTCAAGTGATTTACGCCGCCGTCTCTCCTACTACCTTCTAGTCCTCTCCATCCGAAGGTTGTCTGGAAGAGATCGCTCTAAGCGATAAGGCCGCCCATTGTTACACTAGTTTTAATTGGTTATGTACTAAATTTAATGTTATCTGTGGTGTACAATAAAGAGTTTTTGTATTGTATTGTATTAAATGATTCTTTCGCAGGTTTGTCGGCAAACTAAACGAGGTGTTAGACAGTAAACGCAGTGTCACAATAATATTGGACGATCCAGCTGGGAATTCTTACGTGCAGAGCTTACACGACGATCCGACTATACCGGACGATGGTGAGTCGAAAAACACATTTTAAAAACAGTAATAAAATTGAGGAGCTCGATGGCGCATTCGGCTGCGATCGTTAAAGTTAAGCAACTTTCGCAGTGGTCGGTCATTGGATGGGTGACCAAAAATTTACTGTCTCGAGCTCCTCCGTGCTTCGCAAGGCACGTTAAGCCGTTGGTCCCGGCTGCATCTGCAGTCGTTAGCACCCATCAATCCGCACTGGGCCCGCGTGGTGGGTCATGGCCCAATCTCCCTATTCCATCCATAGGGAAGGCCTGTGCCCCAGCAGTGGGGGCATTAATAGGCTGATAATGATGAATAAAATTAACTTTATAATTTTGATTTTTTTTAAGCATGTAACTGCTTGATGTTTAAATATAAAGAAAATATAACTAGAAAAAATTCCACGCGGATCAGGCAGCAGACGGGACTCGAACCCGCACCCTTCGCTATCCGCTTCGCTTCCTTAGGTATAGAGATAGGTTTGTTACTGAACCACGCTGAAACCCCTGACCCGATTAAGATGAAATTTGATAAAGAAATATGTTTGCGCCCCGGAAAAGGACATAGCGTAGGTTTTATTCCAGAAATAACACTTTAAAGGATCGAAAATATTGGAAGTTTATATGTTTGTCACAATCACGCAAAAACGGCCCAACGACGGATGAAATGGTCCCGGCTGCATCTGCAGTGATTAGCACCCACCAATCCGCACTGGGCCCGCGTCGTGGGTCACGGCTTAATCTCCCTATTGCATCCATACGCCTGTGCCCCAGCAGTAGGGACTTTAATAGCCCGATGATGATATACAATATTTTACTTTCAGGTTTGAAGATCACAAGGTATGAACGATCGTTTGAACAGAACGAAGAATTGGGATTGAACGACATCAAAGTTGATAACTACGAAGAGAGCTAACCGACAGATGGACAAAATAGCAATGCTTATGTATATATAAGAAATCCTAAGGAGTTTTTTGATATGCCATAGTTTTTAATGCCATCTATCGTCGTAGGACGAAACTAAAACAACAAGATGAAATTGGCTATGCTATGATAAAATACTTAAATAAAATGTATTATTTAAATAATAATGAGTTAATGTTGAAATTATTTAAAAATAAGATCAGTTTCATTACCCGAGAGAAAAAATAATTATAGTAAATATGAATTCTTTTTTGCAGCTCAAAGAAGCGCTAAATGAAATATTTGACTATTTAGAAAATTTGAAACAATTCAATTTGAAGTATATATTATTTCATAATTAGATTATTAAGTAATTAAGTATAATATGAATCGATTTTTTTTTTCATAATAACATTTCACAATATATTTAATCTGAGCTCCGTTTATGAGGAGATAACTTAATGTAACAATGAATATAGGTATTTTTCCATAGAAATTACATCTTAGTTTTGTTCTACGCCGACAGATGGCGCTGGCAGATAATAAATTCTCCAAAAAAATCTTGACTGTTTCTAATAATTGTGCAATTTGTGGATATTTTTTCTGTGAATATATTTCGTATAAATTTTCATAGAAATGACCTATTTATGTATATTGGGTTTGTTTTTCATGTTTTAAGCTGTATTTTTTATTGTTAAATAAAAACTGCATTACTGTCGAATTGTAAAATAAAACTAGATTTTATTATCGGTGAAACCGTTGTGATTTTCCTTACGGTATGTGATTGTAAACGTTAAGTAATTCTTGCCAAGGCCAATTTTCGGATGGGTGACCAAAAGATTACCTGATAAAGTAGCTGATGCTGTGTCAATGTCAATCCCCTACCCCGTGGAAAAGGTAGTATTTTCCACCAAATTCTTTGTCTATTCTGTCTTTCAATAATACCACAACTTCGAGAGAAGCCTCGAAAAATTCCTATAAGAGCAAGGATTTGCGCTCGAATTGGAGCTGCCTTCTGGGGAAGTAACCTCCTCCTTACAGTACCCCTAGCACGAACCATTGTCGAATTCGAATCGTTTGCGAGTCCGAAATGTCAATGTCAAATTTTGTATGGAAACTTGAACAGCAGCGCCACAAAGTGCGTAACGAGAACTAAAAATCGGTATACATTTGACAATGACATTTCGGACTCGCAAACGTTACGAATTCGATATTGGTGTGCTAGGGGTACTGATTACCAAAGTCAAACAACACCCCTGGTGACCTTTTTTTTTAAAAATAAGGTTATTTAAGTAATTCCTGTATTCGTATCAAAAGTTGATATTAAAATTATTTTACGATTTTTTCAAATTGATTGATTTTAATAGTGTGGAGTGTTTCAAGTCGATTTTTCTGGAGTTGGTTTTCAAAGCGCCAATTATTTCAGAGTCAATTTTTATCGGGCCCGTTAATATGTTGTGTCAACTTTTCAATAGTCGATTTTAACAGTGTTGTATTATCAAAAGTCAATTTTAATAGGGTCCATTTTTAAGAGTGACGATTATCAAAAAATAGATTTTTATAATTTTTATTATTTTTAGGCCATCGAGGAGCTCGATGGCGCAAGTGGTTAGCGCGTTCGGCTGCGATCGTTGAACTTAAGCAACTTTCGCAGTGGTCGGTTATTGGATGGGTGACCAAAAATTACTATCTCGAGCTCCTCCGTGCTTCGGAAGGCACGTTAAGCCGTTGGTCCCGGCTGCATCTGCAGTCGTTAGCACCCGCCAATCCGCACTGGGCCCGCGTGGTGGGTCATGGCCCAATCTCCCTATTCCATCCATAGGGAAGACCTGTGCCACAGCAGTGGGGACATTAATAGGCTGATGATGATGATGATATTATTTTTAAAGCATGTAATTCTGCCTTGCAGCTTAAGAATAGCTAGAAGGAATTTCGACGCGGTCCGTGAGGGCCGCGGTAGCATAATTGGTCAGTGCATTCGCCCGGATTGCGAAGGGTGCGGGTTCGAGTCCCGTCTGCTGCCTGGTCCGCGTGGAATTTTTTCTAGTTATATTTTCTTTAAATAGATTTTTGTTATGTCAATCATTCTCGTTATTGATAAATTTTCTAGTGGCAATTTCATTTTTTTGCGTCGGTTTTGTTTCGTGTTTGTTGTTATTGCAAAATCAAACTGATTTATCGTTGTTGGTTTTTGTGGTGAGAAAAACATTGCAATGTTGGTCTGTTTTGTATTTATTAACAAAAAGGTATCATGTTAAAAAAAATTAACCCAAACTTTGTGAAAACCTTCTTAAAAAAAATTAGTATCAAAAGTTGATTGCATCCTTATACAGAGAAGATTGAAAAAAAATTTAGTGACAATTTCAGTTTTAGCGTCGATTTAATTTCGTCTTTCTTGCTATTGCAAAATCAAGATGATATGTCTTTGTAAGTTTTTGTGTAGAGAAAAACATGGTCTGTTTTGTATTTATTAAAAAAAAAGGTAACATGGTAAAAAAAAATACAGCAACATTTTGTGAAAACTTACTTAAAAAAAATACCATCAAAAGATGGATTGCATGATAATTAAAAAATTTCTAGTGACAATTGCATTTTTGGCGTCGATTTGGTTTCGTCTTTCTTGCTATTGCAAATTCAAGCTGATTTGTCGTTGTTGGTTTTTGTGGAGAGAAAAACATCTCAATGTTGGTTTGTTTTGGATTTTTTTTAAACAAAGGTAATATGGTTAAATAAAATACATCAAAATTGTGAAAACCTACTTAAAAAAAGACACTAAGAAAAGGTTGATTGCTGCATCCTTATACAAAAAAGATTATTGAATATTTTCTAGTGACAATTGCATTTTTGGCGTCGATTTAGTTTCGTCTTTGTTACTATTGCAAAATCAAGCTGATTTGTCGTTATTGGTCTTTGTGGAGAGAAAACCATTTCAATGTTGGTCTGTTTTTTATTTATTTAAAAAAAAAAAGGTTACATGGTAAAAATACATGAAAATTTTGTGAATACTTACTTAAAAAAAATTACTATCAAAAGACTGATGCAAAGAAGATAATTGATCATTTTCTAGTGACAATTTCATTTTTGGCGTCGATTTAGTTTCGTCTTTCTTGCTATTGCAAAATCAAGCTGATTTCTCTTTGTTTTTGTGGGGAGACTAAAAATATAATGTTGCGAAAAACTAGTAAAAGTAATTTTCCGGTCAGACAAAAAAAAATAATGTTGCGAAAAACTTGAAAAAGTTATTTTCCGTTCATGGATGAAAAGGTACTTATGTTGTTTTCTGCGCAGAGTTTTCTAATGTTTTTCAATAATGCCACAACTTCGAATGGCGACGTGAATAATATGCTCCATAGAGCAATTCACGTAGACATTTGCTGTTGTTCGACGTATTGAAAGAACTTTTTTTTTCTCGTACTTTCTGTTAAGTAATAACTTCTTTTATCATAAGCATTTAACTGCTAGATGTTTAATGTAAAGAAAAATTTACTAGAAAAATTTCCACGCTGACCAGGCAGCAGACGGGACTCGAACCAGCACCCTTCGCTATCCGGGTGAATGCACTGACCATTATGCTACCGCGGCCCTGATGGCCGCGTCAAATTCTTTCTAGTGTTTCTTAAGCTGCAAGGCAGCGCCATCTCTTCGCATTGTGGGTAACGCACTATGTCAAATGATTTGAATGAATGAATTAAGTGTATTTTTTCTGGTTCAAATTTATATTCGGTCAATATTGAACTGTCGCTTTGTTTAGAAAATAATTCGTTACGATGATTTTTCTACAATCGACTTTAATAGTGACGATTTTATAAAGTCGCTTTTAAAGTGGAATATAATGTTAATAAAGAAAGCATTTCGAATGTCTTACAATGAATGAATGTCGAATCTCTAATATAATTGTGCAATATCACAGCTTTTTGGAACTAATTTGATCGAAAAAGTAGGAAGAGAAGATCTTCGAAGAAACAAATTGATCGACGAATCACAATCACATATCACAATACATTATATGAAAATTCATGTCAGTCAGTATGTAGTAGATCAACTGGTGTCAGGTATCATTGACTTTTCGACCCTTTTTTTAAATTTATTTATTAGCTCACAAAACAAGTTACAATTAAATGTTAAAAAACAATGTGGGCGTAACATGATAAAATTTTATGGGCTGAAGTTTACACACAAGAAAAATATTTAAAATCGAATATCAAAAATTAAGCAACAAAAAAACACTTAAATAAAAGTATAAATTAACTGATTTGAAGTATTAATCGTTGAATTTCTTTCCGAAATTCAAGAAGCCGACTACAAAAAATGTCCAAGGAAGAATGATCCCTATGCAGGTTATCGCATTGGCGACACATATTTGTGATTGGGTTATAAAAGGACGTGTTGTTATAAAAAATATATTTTTGGAGGAAGACGCAAAGAGTTTGCGAAAAACTGCGAACAAGTTCTTGTCCTGAATGGTTGTATATAATTTTTGTTCATATAGCTGTATTCCGGTATGTCTTTCAATAATGCCACAATTTCGAATGCCGGCGTAAATAAAATGCTTATCGAGCAATTCACGCAGACATTTGTTGTTGTTTGACGTATTGGAAGAACTTGTATTTTTCTCGCACTTTCTGATGATACATTCTTGTCTTCGCCGTATTTTTTCTGGTTGCGTATTGACTTGGGTCAGTTTGTGTCGATTTTAAAAACAAAAATCCTAGTGCTGTGTTTTCTAGAGTCGATTTTAAAAGTGTCGATTTTAATGGTGCGGGATTTTTATAATCAATTTTAATGTAGAAAATAAAGTTCATAAAAAGGAAGTCGAATGTCTTATGTAACAATTGTGAATATCATTGGTTTTTTGTATTCAATCGATTGAGAAACGAATTGAAAGAGAAGTCCGTAGAAAAAACTAATTGATCGACGACAGATAATAAAGAAGGAAAATTATGAGATTCAAAATCATATATTTTTTTTGTAAAAAGGTGAGATACTAAGTATATCATCTGGTGTCAAGTAAAAAATTATAAGGTGTATATAAATATATA